CAGCATGGCAAGAAAAAGAGGGGTGGCGTAGGAGCTATTCCGGCCTCTCCGAGTGGTTCCCTCCACAGCCGGGCCACTGCAGCCTCCCAAGTGCTGTTCTATCCATCGTACAAGAAGACCAAGCCAGGACAACAAGCACATCCGCACTATGCCGAGGCCCTGGACCCACCACAGCCACCAAACACTGCTGCCTACTATCAACAGCAGCAGCAGCTGCGCCAACAAAGGCAACAACAGCAGCAGCAACTCTCCTCCGATGAGGAGCAGGCCGAGCAGCATGCTCATCTGTTGCACTTGCAGCATCAGCAACAACAGCAGCAGCAGCGACGAGCTGGTGGCCAGCAACAGCTCCCTGCTCCGCCGCCGCACATGGCGCAGTACCAGCAGGAGTTCATGCAGCGTCAATATAGAAATAAGCATTCCAACTGTGATCTGGGCGATGCCTACTATAATCAAGGCAGTGTCGGCGGAGCGGATGGCGGACCTGTGTACGAGGAGATACTCAGTAATCGCAACTCTGATGCCCAGCACTACGAAGTGGGTGACTTTGATGTGGATGAGGTCTATAACAACAGCGTGGGCACCGGCGTTTTTAACAACATGCGTGCGGCAGTGGCTGCTGGCGGTAGTCGCTATGGTGGCAGTCTAAGTGGAGGTAGTGTCTCATCCCGAAACCAACAGCAGCAGCAACATTCGCTGGCGCAGCCAATATCTGCGAGACGTTGCACTGCCGACGAGGACGACGACGAGGATGAGGATGATGAAGAGACAACTGCCGCAGAGCAACTGCACGATGGCGTCTGTGATGAGGAGGAGGAAGACGAGGAAAGCGATATGGAGGATGATTCGCACGGGTTACCACCCCAAAGTGCTGAGCGAATGCGTCGATTAATGGCGCTACAGGATGAGGACTTTAAACGGCGGTTTCAGTAAGTTACTAACGCAAAGATCGAATTCAGGGAAAAAGGCAACAAGTAAATTTCAATCCTACTTTAGGCGTCAGCAGCGCAAGCATGGAGCGCCCGTTGATTATGGAACGCTACCCCCCGGATCAGCGCAAGCAGTAATAGGAGGAGCGCACCCAGAACACAATGGTGCGGTTTTTGGGGTTAGCGGCGGCGTTGGTGAGGGCTCCATGCGGGGCGCGCTTAGGCAACAGCATGCCAAGTCACCGAGCGCCCGTTTGGCGGTAAACGAGCTATTTGGTCACGGCAACACCGGACCACCGCTGCCACCTGCCAATCAGACGCCTGCACAGAAGCGGCAACAGCTTCAGAAACTATCACCGCAGTCCACAACATCATCGTCGTCGCATACATCACACAGTAACCCCCATTCGCATCCCCCTCACCATCAACAGCGTCATCTATCGGCCATGCTGGATGAGAACAATACGGTGCGCTGCTACCTTGAGCCGCTTGCAAAGTAGAGCAGCGCAGCCACTGGATACCCGGAACAGTCTTAGGCAAAAATTGTAGCTTAGGGTCTCTAGCTATACCTAGTATTAGTCGTTAGTCGAAAATATGGAGCATTGTGTGAAACAACATGCTGTCATACTATACGTGCAGTGATTCTAGAATCCCAAAACTTTATGAATGTATATGTAATAACTCAAATCTAGACGATAGGCCAACAACAGAAGACACATAGAAAAACACACGAAGACCAGACCCAACACACGGAGCAATGCAAGCTTAACATAAATATAGGAGGGACTTGATTTGTCTGTCCTTCAACTTGCATGCATTTTATACCAACTTGGAAATCGATCTATTATGATATATAAATGTATGTACTATATGTATAATGTATTGTAATACATGTCACCACATGCCATTTTAAGTAGATTATCAATAATATTAAACAAAACCCAAATATATATATGAATGTGTATGTATAAGATTTGAGAACTGTAAATGTACATTATCTATTGAATGCTGGCGGATTATGTTTTATGTATTTTGTAAGGAATCAATTGTTTATTTGATTTGCCGCTGATTATTATCGTAAGAAATATAGATATAGAGACACACAGGCTTAAGATTTGTTTCACGTTTCATTCACCAAAAACAGAACAAAACGTGCTTTAAGAACTTTCGCTTAAAATGTCTACTTTTTAATTTTGTATCTTTGTACTATCCAACTGCCGCTTTACACCTCTGAACCAAATATTCCTTCCAATTACGAAGCAAATGTTAGGAAACAATTTTGAGCGGAATTCTAATGCCATTTTTTTGTTGCATCTGTATTTCTTTTATGTTTTAAGCGATCCAGAGCGAAGCATTTCAAGTGTACATTTTCATCAATATAGATGCTTTAAGCACACACACATGAAGGCATTTATTTTGTATTTTTTTGAAGAGAACTCTTAATTGCTTTATTATTTATATAATACCTATATACTGGAAGATTAATAAATCGAATGCAATGCTATGTAAATGACTTGGATATTAAATGGCAGGCATACGGTGGGAAAACGAAAGACAGCATACAAAAGAATACCTATCTAGCAAAGAAAGATTTCAACCAAACCTCACTTGTTAACTAGGAACTAACTGTAAAGCTCTTTGAACATTAGCTAACTAATACACATACTCTAAACGGTACGGTACTATCAAGAGAAACCTTCGCTCCCTACAGAATTTCACGCATGTGTACAAAAAAAAAAAAATAAAATAAAGTGCAAAACCAAAAGATAACTATATACATATTATATGTTGTATCTAACATGCTAAGGATCTCCTCCTAACTCTATCCCCATTAGACCCGATCCCACAGCAACACGAAACCTTGTCCCTACTACAGAAAGAAAATAACTAAATGTATTACGATAGTTAATGGCAAGGCACACACACAGAGGATAAAGATATTTATTAAGCACCCACAGCATGCAAATTGTATAAGCAAAACCAAATTAACGTAAATCAGCTAATAACATAAAACTCAAATTAGTGTAAATGATTTCAAACCTATAGAATGCCGCGCAGGTCTGGTTGAACACAAGCAAAGGACTCTAGAAAAAGACCCTAACTGAACAGAAAAAAGATATTGAATGTATTGCGCCTGCTAGTACTTAACGTATATTAAACAAGAATATATTGCAGATACAATTAAATATATATATATATACGTGTGAGTACTTTGATTATCCACCAAAATGCAAAAAAAAAACTATTGTCTCTACGTGTTTACTTTCTCCGAGAAACCGGACTACAAACGTTTGAAATAAACCAAAGCAAGACACCACACCCCATCAAACTGTATGAAAAAGCCCGAGGAAATGTTTATGTACACAATTTTTTCTATTTAAGACCAATTAAAAAGTATTTCATTTGAATGTAAATGGAAAATCGGAGTTCTAATTTGGTTGGGCCGGGACTGAGTGAACATGAAACGTAATGGATTATATTCCACCAACTGCCAGAATAAATTATTAAATACAGTTTCGGTTAAGTGGGCCGTTAAATTCTTTGAATCGTCTTTTAAATATTTGTTCGGTGCTGCCCATCTATACGGGCTGCCAACTGGTGGTAATTACATACAGGGTTCCCGCTTGCGGTCTAGAATTTAGAAATTTCCATACGCAGGTTTTTTTAATTTTCGCTCAATATTTTCGCTCAATCATTATATGTTTAATATGTCGTTTTATGTGGGCGCCGTTGTTGGCGGCGGAAGAGACAGGGGCTGGGGCAGCAGAAGCAGTGGCGATACTGTCTGACTTGGCTTTCTTGCCTTTCCTTTCCGCTCGGACACTGTTTTTATGACAAGTATAAAGTTTCTGGGCCCAATTTTCTGACTCCAAGGGAAAAACTCTCTTCATGTTTCGCCCCAAGCCTCTGCTGTCTTCCGCCGTCATTTTAATGTTGTTCTTTATAAAATATTTCGCTACAAGAGAAATGAGCGTCCGTATTTCTCTTGGGCTTAGCATCTCCTGCTTGCCTTGCTTTATCAGCAAGCGCTCGCCTGCCTTTCCGCTCTGCAGCAGGATCCCGTACCCATTGACGACTGTTGAGGACGCGTTGGATAAATGCCCGGAAAATTTTCCACTTTCCGTTGATAAGTCAAAGTCATCACTACTACTGCTGAAGTGCTAGAAATAAATTTGTGTGGGCTGCGCGTAGTCGTGATCCCGTATGTGATCCGGTCGGTGCGTCGGTTTCCGAGTCCGATTCCGTTTTTTTCCGATTTGCTCCATTAAACTAGACACTTTAAATTCCGTCCGTCTCACTCCACTTTTTTTTCTGAATTTTTCCGCGGGCGACGCCAAAACATAACGGATCTTTTGCCTAAGGCTGCAGAATCGTTGGCAGAATCGATTCAATAGTATCGAAAGAATATTTTTATAAAATATATATATATATATTATATTAATAATAATCAATTAATTGATTAATATAATTTATAATACTATAGTACGTTCTTATGGAGTACGTAGTTATAGTAGATAGTACGTTCTCGTCTGTTTTTAAAACAGTCGATAGGTGCGTGTCGTGTCGTGACTTGACTAGGGCTGCAAAACCAAATTAAATTTCAACTCTCAACTGTGGCGCACGCGAAAATTTCAAAACAATTTCGATCCGATCTAAAGTGCAAGTGCTCGAATTGCAAGTGAATGGATAGTGATATGGATGCGGCCACGGTACAGGCCAGTGGAACAGCACAGCAGCAGACGGCCACGGTGAAGCGCAATATTGAACAGCAGCCGCTGGCCAAGTGGCCGCTGCCAATTGCCATTTGGTACCCCCCGACAAGCTCAACATCATCAGCAACAAGTGTGTATTTACCAACAACCAGTTGGCGCAGGCTCCTGTGCCGGCAAAGCGTGGGAGGAGGAAGCTAACATCTAACGTTGCTGTTGTTGCTGCTCCACCCCCCCACCGCCACTTCTGCCCAATATTCTATCTTTTCAAAACATTCCAAAAAGTGCCATTTGTGGATGACCAGTTAAGAAAATGTATAAACTATTTAAAGCGGCCGGAAATGTTGGAGGGAAAAATTAACTTCGTGTCTCACTTGACATATTTCAAGAACGAACCTTTTTTCATCATGATAGATGAGTATCATATCCCTCATATGGTAAGTGTTGGACTCAACCGTCTCCACCTCCTGATCCAGCTGCTTCGGCAAATTATAACTAATAACTATATATTTACAGACATTTCTTCCGATACCGAAGTGGAAAGTGCTGGCAATAGCTGCAAGCAACGTGTCAGCTACGGCATTCCAATATTTGTACATTCGTGTGGTAAGTTATTATCCTTATACATAACAACATTATATTTTCGAATTCTTGCATTCAACAGGTTCCAGTCACAGACGAGTCGCACCTAGGTTCGCGGAAAATATGGTACGCTCTTGATGAAGTTCTAAGCAAGATTATCAAAGCAGGATATCGGAATAACCTGCTGGCGGTGGTGACTGACCATTGCCGGGCCAATCTAGACATTATTGGTCGATGTGCAGCCAATTTCCCCATTTTATGGGATAAAAAACATATGGTTAATAACATGGCGAAGCATCTCATAACAGACAATATGTTGAACTATTTATATGGCCAAACGTATACCCACATGAATTGGAAATTAAAATTAAGAAATGTTCCAGAGTTGGATAACTCGATGGACGATGGCTTACGCTTAAGTTACCAGAACGAAGTGCTCATGTTCAGAAAAATGCTGCAACGCTATTTTACCAATTCAAAGGATCCTTTGATAGCCCATAAAATAAGTAGCAACAGATTGAAGTCCTTGGGCACAGCCCTTGGGCGAAAAATTGTTGAAATAATGTTGTATGCTGCGAATCTGCACCCACAAAAGGAGCTTCGGCAATGCCCTCTATACTACTTGGCCCGTGTGGTGGGGATAATAATTTTACTGACCACTCTCAAACCATGAATAATTTAAAAGACGAAATGGACAGCAGCGTGGAGAAGGAGTGCACGGAGGAAAGGTGATACGAAAGACCGGATACGAATGTGGAGGAATCATACCAGTCTTTGGTCGGCAAAGGTAAGTACTCGCTGAAATAGCAACTTTGGTTGAAAGTGAACTAAAAACTACAATAATTCATTAAATTTATTTTCTAATTAATAACAGCTGTCCAATTGCAATAAATTAGAAAATTGCGTTTAAATGCATGTTTATCCTAGAAGCCTAAAACCTTTTTTTAGACTAAATCCAACAAAAGCAGGAGTTTAAAATCAACCAGCCTAGTGAAAAATAGAGTAATTTATTGTATAAAATTATGTGGGCATAGCTGGGCGCTTTTTCTAGCTAGTAATTTTCGACGGAACATCAAAATCTAGCAATATGCTTTCCAATCCTTGACGCATTTTCACCGAAAATAATGAAAATTTAATAATGTTACCGCAGTTCAGGTGAAAGATATCGTGGTTATTTTTAAGTTCAGACGAAAGACGGGATGAATCTACAAGAAGAATTCACAATCGTTAATATTCTCCGCCATTTACCTCAAGTAGTTCAACTATTTAAAAAGAGGGGGCTTACGTGGGTTAAGTTGTCATTATACGAGACGCTATATCATCAGCTGTTTGAGATTGTTCATTAAGTGAAAATAAACAAATAAAATATGACTGAATTCCAATGGCCCTGGGAGTACACATTTCCACCGTTCTTCACGTAAGGCAATTTAAAAATACCTAAATCATGTATTATTAAACTTTCCCGACAGTTTGCAGCCGCACGAAGAAACCAGACAGCAGCAGTTGAAGGTCTGGACGGATCTCTTTCTCAAATACCTCAAGCATACGAATAAGTTTTCACTCAGCATCAACGAACAGAGCTTGCCACTATTCCACAATGAGTCAATTCAGCGACGCCTTTCGCCGGAGCTCATACTAGTGATACTGGAGCAACTGCAGCGGAGTGGGCATGCAACTGCTTTGGACAAACGCCGCCAGGAGTGGCAAGTGTATTGGTACACGCTGGAGGCGTATGGGAACATGGTATACGATTGGATACAGGAGACGGGCCAGACCAACAGCATATGCACCCTGTACGAAATAGCTTCTGGCGAGAGCACCACTCAGATGGATTTCCATGGCGTGGATGAGTCAGTACTCCTAAATGCACTACGACTGCTGGAAGAGAAGGGCAGATGTGAGCTAATTGAGATAGATGGCAGCCATGGTGTCAAATTCTTCTAAGTGTTTTGGTTGCTTTGTAAATGTATTCTCTCGACTGTGGATTTTAAAATTAACAAAAAAGATCGCGTTGCCGGTCCCATAAAGAATGACTATTAATGTACTATGTACCCATATTTTAAATTAGTATCAATAGACTAGTCGATATATGTCAGCCATATCCATCTGATGAGATATTGTCACAGGAAGTTCTTTTCAGCTTACTGCTGTCTTAAGAGATTTTCCATTGCAATTTTTAAAGCATATATAAATGTATCGAGATGAATGATTGCACTTTCTATAAAAGTGGACACAAACAGTTTCGATTTGGCTTAAAAATCATCAGCTTTCTGAAGGACAATGCCGAGCAGAGATGGCAACTGTGCACAGAGCTGCTGCCGCATATGTCGGAGCAGAAACTACGCTCCAATTTGGGCACTTTTAATGCAATTCTGCAGTGCATTAGACCGGTAACAACTACGATTCCCATCGTATTTCCGGCACAACCGCCTCGATCGCAGTGCAAGCGTCTGTGGAGGATGTGAATATGGAGTCGCATAGGCTGAAGTTCCTGGTCGACGAAAGATCCTTTGAGAAGTAGTAAATTTTATTGTAAAGATTCGTTTGTAATTGATTGTTATAAACACGATTGTTAAGAAAATGCCTTGGTATGTGCTAAATTAATACTATAATATTGATATAATTGAGATCAAACTATTCGAGTGCTGACTAGTGAGGATTGACAGTGTTAATCATCTTTCGTTAGATGTGTGAGAACCGGCTCCCAGTTGATGCCATCGTGAGGCAGCTCGCTGTGCACAAACGGTGATAACCACGTCAAGTACATGCGCCTGCCGAAAATCATTTCCATGTTAGCCCGCAGCCCGAGGTCGTAGTTGCGACTGCGGCGTTCCTTTGCCACCGAACCCAATTTTAATATAGGCCAGTGGTAGACTAGTAGTAGACTAGTGGATATACTGAAGGCCAGCCAAGTGAGTAGGTATGTAAGTAAATAAAAGCTTTCCCAGCTGGGGCTCAGAGTGAGGCTCACAGCGGGCACAAACACTGTGATCAGGGTGAATGGCCTATAAAAGAAGTCGAAGTGGACATTCCACAGATAGATGCCACCCAGGATGCCCGCAACGAAGGACCCAATCATCAGATACAGTAGAAAGTAGACGAAATAGCGGTAATTGTGATGTCCAATGCAACAGCAGGTAAAGCGGCAATGATGGTCCCGCTTTAACACACACACGTTACAGACCTCACAGTGCCAGGACCGGGGTGGCACTAGCGCCTGGCACTCGTTACACATATGCCAACGGGCTCGCAGATCGGGATCCAGAGGCGGCTTCAGAAGCTCCACTAAAAGGCAAACTTTGAAATCGCAATTTTAGCAGCAAGATTGTACTTACTTCTGATTGTGGTGTCCACCAGCATGCAGGCGAGTAAATTCGCGGTGATGTTAAATATCAGAAACTGAGCGGCCACCCAAATCACCGTGTACCAGAAGCTGCCGACTCCAAACAACTCCGGCAGCACAAGAGTCATATGGAAGACATATGTGACGGGGATAAACACCACCAACAGTAGTAAGCACGACAAATCAGCGAAGCATCGCGGTCGAACCTTGTCCCATGAACGCAAAATCATTTCATTCCCGTTATTTTCGCCCCCACGGTTTGTTTTGACAACTAAGTGATGAACCAATAAGCAGGTTCATCTATACTAGTTCGTTTCACTGCTCTAAATAGAATGGGAGTTGACAGAGACATATAATTTCGGCTGACAATGACACTTGACACTTCAAAATTAAAGTAAAATGTAAACTAACAACTAAATGACTTTCCGCACTGGCAGTTACTAATTTTGATTAATGGAGCATCAGTGAACTAGATGATGAACAAAAACTAGTTCGAGTTCTAGCTAGTTTTAACTCAGTTACACTGCCGCGCGTTTTCTGTTTAAATCGAAATTAACACAATTCCACTGTATGAGTGTTTTCATGGGTAGGAAGAACTCATATCCTTTTTTCTATATTTTCCATAATTTGTTAATATTGCTTTCCATAATGTCTTAAATAACAAACCAGCTGTTTTCGTAACGCAAGGCGTAATAACGCAGCGAGAGTGACCCAAAGTTCGTTAAAATTTGTATTTACTCTTTTCCTTAGCCATATTTTTATCTTTAGAGTGTTTTTTGCTGTCTCTCTCTCTCTCTCTCTATATATATTCTTAGTAGCTAAGCCAATAACGCAATTGTAAAACCCTAGTGTAAACAGGGTGTTTGGGTCCCAGTCAAGATGGAAATAAATTCATTAATCGATCGGATAAAATTAAGTGGGCATAGCTGGGCGTGCTTTTTAGCTAGTAATATTCGACGGAATAGAAAACTATAGCAATATGAACGACTATCCTCTTTGTTTTTTTTTTATTTCCCCATTTTTGCTAAGAGCTATTTTTGTTTGACTTCTTATGATTTCGCCATAATCTTTTTTACGCAAAATACAATAAAAGCAATTATTAAAAATAAGCCAGTTAAGTAGAAAAATGATTCATCAATCGTATAAAAATATGTGGGCAGAACTAAGGGTTCTATCTAGCTAGTAATATTCGACGGAATATCAAAATTGTTTCCAATCCTTAACGGAGAACGATTAGCCCATTGTAGACCAAGGGGCTGTTTCAATTTTCCACCGAAAATAATGAAAATTAGCTAATTTTATCGCAGTTCAGGTGAAAGATAAAGTGTTTTTTTTTTTAAGTTCAGAGGAAAGATGTCATGAATCTACAAAAAGAATTTACAATCGTTAATATTTTCCGCCATTTACCTTAGGGGGCTTAAGTGGGCTAAGTTCGGTTTTTCATCATAACGCTGTATTGTTGTTGCAATATGCAGTATCGTATCGGTCGCGCTCCATAGTATACTGTGAAGCAGTGCACACGAATCCCCCCTCACACTCCCACTCCGGAAAATGTCTGGTGCGCAGGTGGCAATTTTAACAGTTATTCTGTTGTTGGAGACGGCGACCGCTGGCGTCCCGCTGCAGCGATACGAGGCACTTCTGAAGCAGCAGTCGGCGCCCACCGACGAGCAACTGGGTCTATACGACGAAAATGACAAGGTTGTCCAGCTGAGTGTGGGAAACTTCAACGAGTCCGTCTTGGAGCAGAATCACGGCTCTCTGGTGGAATTCTACAACACCTATTGCGGGCACTGTAGGCGCTTTGCTCCCATCTACAAGCAGGTGGCCGAGCAGTTGCATTCCTGGCAGGATGTGGTCATAGTCGGTGCCATTGACTGTGCGGCAGAGGAGAACAATGGTATCTGTCGGACCTACGAGGTCATGGGTTATCCCACGCTTCGCTACATGGGTCCGGGTTTCCAGCCGAGTGCCAAGAACTACGGACAGGATCTCAAGTCGCAGGATCCAGCCGAGATTCGTGGCTTGTTGGCGAGCATACTGGTCGCCGATAATCTAACAAGCAGCAACAACAACACCTACTGGCCAAATTTCCATTATGTCACGGAAAACGACTCAAGCTCCACCATCTTCGAGGGACTGAGTAGCCAACGCGAGTTTGTGGCACTTGTCTACGAGCCAGAGAACTCCACCGTGGGCATTGAAACGGCACTGTTCCTTCTACAGTGGCCCTCTCTGCAGGTGCGCCGTGTGAGCGATCTGGCGGCGGCTTCCAAATTTAAAATTGATCCCACCAGTCACCAATTGTCAATTGTGGATCGCAAGGGTGAGATCACACCCTACACACCGGCGGAACAAACTGGTCCAGCATTTTCCGAGACCATTCAGACTGCACTGCGCAAGAAGAACATAACACCGAGGCCTGAGAAGGCTGAGATCCAGCATGCTCCGGTTGCAGCTATTGGAGAAAAGGCTGAGCATAATGCAATCCTCGAGGAAGTTCATCGCCACAAGCATTTCGTTTATCAGGCAGATCTCGAGCAGGCCATCCGTACAGTACTGCACAACGAGGTGCCCAAGGTTAACGAGATCGGAGGTGAACGTCTTCTTGCCCTCCAACGTTTCTTGGGCGTGCTGCAACGCTACAATCCTTTGGGATTCAATGGACACCAGCTGCTGTCTAAGCTCAAGGACTATGTGGTGCAGTTTAATCAAGAGCTGACAGGCAAACAGTTCGAGCAAGAACTGCAGCGACTCGAGGGGCAACTGGGTCCTATCTACTCCTCCACGCATTTCGTCGGGTGCACTGGCTCCAGTCCACATCTGCGGGGCTTCAGCTGCTCTCTATGGACCTTGTTCCATTTCATGACAGTGCAGGCGGCCGAGAACGAGGACTCGCAGGATCCCCTCGAAGTGTTGCAGGCCATGCACGGCTACATCAAGAACTTCTTTGGCTGCTCCGAATGTGCTGATCATTTCCAGGTGAGTCACCCGCACCTCTAAGCGATCAAGTGTACGTGCTAATGACCACTATATCGCTGATTGAGTCAAATCTCTTCCTATGAGATCAGGGACAAGCAGAGAGGCAGGCCTAGGGGGGTAGAGTAATTGATTACACGGCAGAAGATTGACGCGCTGACAATAGGGTTTTTCCATACGGAATTTTTTTTTTTTTTTTTAGAAAGTATTTTTTTAACCTTTGTTGGCTACGCTACTGTTATAGGTATTGGTGTTTGTTAATTGCAGCGTCATTCAAATAATTAAGTTTATGGATCAGCAACTCCGGCATCAGCTCGGCTAGGAAGTGGCGTATTCTTCAATCCATTTACTAATTAAATAATCACGGATATTTTTTGGATTCTGTTGTATAATTCCGACGTCTATCTTATCTACGCTTAGTCACCACAACAATCGATGCATAGGGAAAACCGGTTTCTATACAATATCATCTACTACAGAAAGTGCTATTACTCTCCGCAAAAAACTTCCCCATTTCGCAGTTAGAAAAATCATTGCAAAACCGAATCAAACAAATGTGTTTGTTTTGATACTCGAAAAGGGACCACATAAAGGGACCACATATGTATCAGGATTAACAACCATGTCGATATCCCCATATCCGTCTGTCTGTTTGGCGTATCGGTGGAAGTGTATCACAATATTCTGTCGCCGCAGCTATGTAGCTTTTCTTGTCAACATCTCGTTTACGTTAACTAAACAGTAGTCAATGCAACGTTTATTTACTTGGAATGTACGTGCATACATTCATAAGTGGGCCTCTCTTCCCCAACTGTGCCAACAGCTGCGCTTTTGTGACGTACATATACATACATATACACCTATTGGATAACATGTTTTATATCTGTTGTGCAGGCAATGGCCTCAAGACGGAAGATATGGAGCGTGCCGAACAAGGAGGAAGCTGTACTATGGCTGTGGGCAGCGCACAACGAGGTGAACCAGCGCCTGGCCGGCGATGACACAGAGGATCCTCAGTTTCCAAAGATACAGTTTCCCAGCGAGAAAAGCTGCAGTCAGTGCTACCGCACGCCAGGCTCCACGTCGGACAACATAGAAATCAACTGGAACAAGGATGCAGTTCTGAGCTTCCTCAAAAACATTAACAATCCACAGTTTGTAAGCAGATACGGCGTGCAACAGGAGGATCTGCTGCATGCGACGGCGGAGAAAATGAGACAAAAGCGTCAAATATCGAATGTATTCAGCGACATTGACATGAGGATGGGCATGCTTCTTTACGCCTTTTGCATTGTGATGATGGTCGTGGCATTCAAGTTGTTCGCCTTCAAGGGCTATCGCAAGAAGCCGTACGGACACGACCTGCTTGGCAAGGTGTAGATGTAGATAGGCCGGAGAGAACCAATCTAGGCTGCTTCCACTAATTTAAGTAATGACACAGAAACACCGAGCACCATATACCGAAACTTACACAATGACCACCTCTTCAATGATTTTATTAGGAGCACACACAATTATGTTTAAGTTCAAAGTGTATATATGTATGAGTACGCTTCCTCCAGTTTTAGTCCCGTAACCATAATGATAACATTCGCTTTTTTATAACGACTATTCAGACACTCTTATGGATTTTTCTTAAGTATGCAAATGTGATTTCCCGCAATAATGATTCACTAATGACTCCCGTGTGCGTTTAAATAAAATGCTAAATGCAACATCTCTTGTTTACAAGCTTGTTTCCGTCGACATCTTTGAACACATGCTACTGCCCGCCCAGGCCCAGTAGCACTGTAGATAAGGAGCACCTAACACAACACTGTCAGTGCCTTCAGAAAGATAAAAATCACCTTGCTCTTCTGATGATAATGAAGCCAGTGTAATAGGCAAGTGTAACTAGGCGTTTATTTGACAAATCTCTGGAAGTCTGGATGCCACCATGGCAATACTTTGTACTTTTCTATGCGCGCGTACTTTACAGTGACAGTCGCTGCGCTGCAGCTCTCCTCGGCGAAGTCTAGCTCCAAGTTCTTCGCCCGCATATCTGTGCAGAGCAGCTCCCGGGTGGCTCTGAGGCGAAACCGCGCCTGCTGTTGACTATAGGCCAATCGCGTAGGTGTAGGCACAAACTGGCGGCATAGCACCACCAGTAGCACCACTCCTTCGTTTGGATTGCCAATAGCTGGTGGAAGCTGCGCTTCGTCCTCTTCTGCCAGAGACTCCCAATCGTTTACCACTTCGATGGCCGGGGCCTCCGCCTCTTCAACGTTTACTCCTGCAGGCTGCTTATTCCACAGCTTATAACACATTATCCACAGGCATTGATATTGTTTTTGCCAGCATGAGACAAAGGTACGATGCACCAGCCAGTCGAGATTGTATCCCTGGTCTAGTCGCACTTTCAAGGGTCTGTGGCAGTAAAAGAGCGCCTTAATGACAAGCGATCGCAAAGTATTTGTATCACAGCCACGTATGTGCTCCATCTGCAACTGGGCCGGCAAGCCAAGGTTCCAGCCCAACGTCTCGCCCGCGCAGCACCGTTTATACAGGTTCCGCCAGAATGCTCGTGAACTCACAAGCCCGGCAGTCTGTTTGCATATCAGGGCGAATGTCTGCACGTCCTCCGGATCTATATGCATGGCTATGTGGAACCAAATGTCATGCCGAATGTGGGTTATGTTGTTGTTAGTCTCCGCCATGGCTGGTGCTGGTGCACTGACTCGAGGTGTTGGAGTCGGCTTCACCTGGACATATACCTCCGATTGGCGCGCATATATCGCTAATGAAAGAATAAGGCAGAATAGAATTATTTATTCGACCACTTCAAATAGAGTCCAATGATTCCCACCACATTTTCCGCTGGTCCGGTAAAGTTTGCTTTTAATAAATTGATTGCAATCAGAGGATTCAGGGCTCAAGTTCATTGCTATGTGGCGAGCATATTCGTCGGCTGCTGATTTAGCGTAAAATCAACAATTGTAATAACAGCTGACGTGTAATCAATTCTTAATCCTAACAGAGTGGGTGGGAACAGCTGTTTCGTTATTGAATCGATACTTTGCAACGATATTTTATTCCTGCATCGATATAGGATTGTGCTATTGAGTAAGTTAAGATACGATACGTTGTTCAACACTGGTATGGCGCGTACCTAAAATTGTTTGCGGAAGCAAACTATATTTCAAGAAGTTCGCTTAATGTTTTAGTCAACTACCGCATGGCGATCCGGAAAAGCTCATAAAACGGCTCTAGGAACTCTGACGGGAGTTAAAATTCGCAACGAAACGCAGGAAGCTAGATCCGCCATACCGGTAGGAGTAAAAATGGCGGCAAAAACGGCTTCTTTTGGCTTATAAACTGCTGAGCAAGAAACCGAACTTGTCGACTAACGTGTCGACAAACATGTCGACAAACATGTCTACGACGAAAGAGAGAGAGTAAACCGATGCGGAGTACAAAAAGCGATAATAATTGTAAAATCATCGTGAGGCACTTCGTCCAAAAAGTAGGATTAATTTTTGGGATCCCCTAGCAGAGTTTGTAACCTCGGACATCCCAATTGAGGAGATAGTTCGGATTACGCAAAGAGACAGAGCATCGGGGGAACGTGTAGCTACAGGCTGGGTGAAACTCTGGTTCAGAGGAGAGCAGTTAAGTGATACCTTTTGTTCAGTTTAATCAATGTTTCAGGTGCTTTAGGTTTGGACATCTGGCGGAACATTGCACGAGTGGAGCGAAATGTTTAAAATGCGGACAAGATCACAACAAGGATATTATCTGTTCAGGTCTGGTCTGTGCAAACTGCAAGTGCGAGGCCAGGAAAAAAGCCATACAAAAGTGTATGACACTAGAAAACCTAACTAGAGCTGTGGTCAAGGGGAATTTCCCAGACCTGTTTGGCAATTTAACCGCTCCCCTGAACTCATAAATAACAGTTCAGAGTCCGCCAGGGAAATTAATTCTGTCACGTCTTCTGCGGAGGTGACCAAATCCAATAGGGTTGCCGCCCGGAATGCAGAGGCGGCCAAGGCAGCAGCCAACATGTCAGAGTGGAGGAACTCGATAAACGCAGACTGCTTCCAAATGAGCGAGAAATTTGTTAGATCTTCATCCGTGGCATCCTCGCTGGCCCAGGATAAGCTAAACGCACTAGGAGCCAAACTCACAGCGTTCCTCATTGATCCAAACAATATCATTAAAGGGGATTCTTTAACGAATAATTTTATTAAGGAAATAAGAGAATTTGTCAATGCTTCCAACGCAGAACTAGATAGGCGTCAGATTGCCCAAGGGATGGCAGTGGGTTCTCAAAACATCCAACAATGAAGATTCTTCAGCTAAATATTCAAAGTCTGACACACAACAACAACAAACAGCTCCTCTCAATGTTCCTAGAAAACAACGCAAAAGGTATGGCCATTTTCTCAGAGATCTGTTTGCTGAACAACGCGGACTGCAGCTATTTGGATTATAACTTTTTCTGCAAGCCCAGAGAGGACGGCTACGGCGGGGTAGGCATCTACATTAGGATTAACATTCAATTCATCATTTAAAAAAAAAGAACGACTTGGAAATTTTAGGAATAAAAACATTAAACCCCAAGAGCAACCCTAATTCGGCTAGAGGCCCTGTTGGCATCTCTTTCAGGTTGCTTCATAAGCTCCCGATTGGGAAAAAACAAGACATTTTTTTAATTATAAATAAGGTATGGCGTCATCACTGAAGTCTGGCGCAGGATAAAGGTGGTCCCCATCCCCAAGACGAATGCAGACCCTACCTCCTTCCAAAACTGCAGACCCATTTGTTTGGTTAACACGCTTTTTAAATCCATATAGGGGTTGATAAAGTTGAAGTTGGACGAGTACATAGCAAACTGTGACCTGCTGCCGGTCAGGTCCTATGCCTTCAGGAGAAACAGGTCCACGGCGCAGTGCATCAACGACCTTATCAACAAGTTTCTGGCACTGAAAGCGAGGGGATGTCTGGTTGTCGCAGCTGGTCTAGATCTATAAAGATCGTTTGACTGCGTAAGAGTGGACACACTCGAGAACAGGATGAGGGATATGCGGTCCAATCCAAGCCTCACGGCTTGGATCACAGACGAATACTCATAAAGGGCAAAAGGGAGGTAGAGTTGAACAGAGGTGTTAGCCAGGGTAGCTGTCTTAGCACAACCCTTTTCAACCTTTACACAGCCGAGCAACATGATATTAACAGTCATAACTGCTTCCTGTTTCAGTATTCTGATGACTTTATCATTGTTTGTTTTCACAAAGATGTGTCCATTGCGAAACGTGTGCTGGAAGACAGTATAGATAAAATCGAAGGAAAAAGCAATAGGCTAAATCTGTCATTCAATCCGGTGAAATCTTAAGTGATTTACTTCACCAATCGTAGAACTGCGCTAGATATCTCACTTCAATGAGTTGAGATCAGAAAAGTAGAGCAGATCAAATACCTAGGCAGGACTATCTCAGCAAACAACTCAGCCTCTGGTCACATTGATCAGGCAATCTCGGAGCCGAACAGAAACTGTACCACTAAGGTAATAGCCCTAACAGAGGGCTTATATTTTACAAGGCCTTCGTCAGAAGTAGGGTACAGTACGCGTGCTCGTCATTCTGCAATCTGTCTAAATCTGCCTTGGCCAAAATCAAATTTTACTGCAACCATCACCTCAGAAAGTCGCTAGGTCTGATAATCTGCACTCCCGTTCCTATCTTATATCACATGGCAGCAAATAGGGAATGAAACACGGGATACGTTAAGGCATATCGGGAGTTGGCCAGCATAATAGATAGATTTGAGATTTTTTCAGGGGATCTGCGGCTAACAAGCACGCTTTAGACCAAGCAGGTATCATTTTGCTCCACGGCGAAAAGAAGGATCAACTGGCAAAGGGAGGCTTTGAAATCTATTACACGGACGGGTCAGTCGCAGCAGGACATTCCAGCGCCGCTTTCTTGCACCATAGAACAGGTTTTTTTGATAATTATTACACGCACAAAATCCTTTCCTCTTTGTCCGCCGAGCTGCTTGTTATCGAGAAGGCATTAGACCATGGTATTTCGTACAATTTTCCTCGTCTCGGGCTCCTAAAAGACAGCAGAAACGGGGCTCTCATTCTGGCGAAGAACATTCAGGAAACCTTTATCGCCTACAAAATCAGAGAAAAGGTTCAACAAAATCAACATCTAAGAAATATAGATGTTCACTACATTCCCGGACACGCTAACATCCATCAGAACACTTCAGTTGATGCAGCAGCCAAAGAAGCCCACAGACTAGGGAAATACACAGTGGTTAAATGGAACCTTAAAGACTTTTAGCGTCAAGCACCGAGGTTACTGCTCGCTTTTCCCCTGAACATCATCCAAGCCGTGGTTCCTAAACTAAATAAAACTAAACTAAACTAAAAGAATCAACAGACTGCTTAGTGGTAACGCATTTGACAGGCACACCTCGCCAAAATGCATGCGATAGTATCGATAACGACTCGCCCGTAATTTTTAATTGTACCAAGGCAAAACTTCCCATCGCTAAGAAAGTATAATCTACAAATTCTTTGAAAAAAAAAACATCAGCGCGTACCTAATCGACTTCATCGACGGAATTGATGTAAAATTATAACAGTACTCCAACATCTTCTATTCTTAGAATAGTCAAAAAATTTACAATTTCCACCTTCAAAGGGCGGGCGGCCAAATAATCCCACGCTACTCAAGAGTAACTTAAACCCTCAAAAAAAAAAAAAAACAAAAAAATAACTATGTCCTTTGACGCGATACCCAAGGATCTGAGGGGTCTGCGGGCGTGCCTGGTTTGTTCCTTGGTGAAGGTAGGTTATGTTTGCTGAACGCTGCATGAAATCATGTGGAATTTTTCGCGTCTTTCAGAGTTTTGACCAATTTGAGACTGACGGCTGCGAAAACTGCGAGGAGTTCTTGCGCATGAAAGGCAACAAAGATAATGTGTACGACCACACCAGCAACAATTTTGATGGGCTTATAGCTTTGACAACACCCACCGATTCCTGGGTGGCGAAATGGCAGCGATTAGGTAAATCAATCTCAATGGAGTGCTGCACTGCCAGACAGTTTTTTAATTTAAATTGTATGTATATTGTAGCTCGATTTACACGCGGCATCTATGCTATATCCGTATCAGGAACTTTACCTCAATCAACTTTAAGAGATATGAAGAACCGGGGTATTGTCTACAAATCCCGCGATAGGAGTCAACGCTAAATATTTTTCGGCCGTACAAAATACAAATGTAAATCTTTATTTTTAAGTCATAACAAAACCACGAATACATACAAGAGCAATACAAAATGGAGCAAGTGTTGGATCAATCATCCAAAGAGCTGACACGTAATCCAACGCCGCCAGCTGTCGTCACATGAACGCCAAAGCCCGCCGACTCCAGTTCCTCCTTAAGCTTCCAGTAAACTTCGTTGCACTCGTAGTTCTCTGGCAGCAGGACGATTGCGTAGCCACCAGCTCCGGCGCCTGTTAGCTTCGAGAAGAAGCCTCTCTTAAACGCAATGGTGAATATTTGTTCCAGTTTGGGGTGCGACACACCAATAGCCTTCAGAAGATCGTTGTTAATTTGGAAGAGGCGTTCGAGTTTTTCAAACTTTGCACTGTCGTCCTGGGCATTGCCGAAGCTCTCGTAAAGTGGGACAGCTGCCGTCACCAGCTCCTCACAGGCTTGCCAAATCGCTTCAATGAGCTGAGGAAAGCCTTCAGCTAAGTGGCGAACCTTAGCCACGATGTCTGCCGTACTGCGGCTCACGCGACTGTCAACGAGCAGAATGTTGAGCGGTTTCTGTATGCTCAGGGACTGAAATCCTTGTCCTTTCACATAGCGCAACATACCGCCGTAGGTGCACACTGTGTTGTCCAGTCCGGATGGTGTTCCATGATTGACTCGTTCCGATTCGTAGGCCCAGCTCGAGATAAGAGCCTGATTTTCCTCTTGCAAGTAGCTCTCCTGGTCAAAGTGACCGGACAAGATTAGAAAAGCGGCTGCCAAGGCGGCTCCAAATGAAGCAGAACTACCCAACCCGGCGCCCACGTTCAGTTCGGTGTCTACCTGCACCTGGAAACCGGTTTGAAGAGTCAGCTTGGGATCTTTTGGCGATGAGAGTACAGCTCCCGCCAACAAATAGTAGATGGATATGAACGCCCGTTGGGTATGCGGCTTTGTTGTGCTGCCGGCAGCTCTTTCCAGTTGCTTGGAGACTTCCCCTCGCACCTCCTCCATCAGCTTGGCCCTGCTGTCCACCGGATACTTGCTGCGGAACTTTTCGAGAAACGCATTAAAGTCGGCGAGCTGTATCTCCAGGGTGCAGTTGAGAGCCTCCAGCTGGAAGCTGGCTACCTGGCTGCCCGCCTCCTGGCGGAACTGGAGATTGGTGCCCAGGCCAACCACAGCTGCCAGGGCGGGCCTATTGTAGACAACAGCGTGTTCCCCATGGAGAATGACCTTGCCCGGAGAGTGGACCTGGAACTTGAGCATTGTATTGTTCTGCGCCGAGTTGTCTTTATCGGTATATCAGCAATTTAAAATTGTAATGGAGAGCGGTCAAAAAGTTGTGTCTATACGTCGAGTACTTAAGTTTTTATTGTTTTTTTATGTAACGTATGCATTTAGCGGATCATTTGCGTAGTTTATTTAGCAACTCCAAACTCCACTCCGGTCCAGTTGTCTGTTGTTTCCCTTTCACTTTCTTTGTTCAACTGTTCACTGTTTTCGGTGGTGGCTGGTTTCGTCTATACTGGTTCCGATCATCGCACGCAAAAATTCAAACTACAAACGAACGACAACAGGTTACGGCTTATTGTTGCTGCTGTTGCTGCACTTTCTCCCACTCTTCGGGCGTGTATGACTTTTGCGAGAAAGCGTGTATTTCTTTTAGTTCTTCGGCCAGCGTCGTGTTGACTAATCTGTGTTTCTGTAGCAACGTCTTGCCTTTGAATGCTTCGGATACGATAATCACGCTGAATTTTCCTCCGCAGCCGTCTGATTCATCGACCACATTCACGTACTTGGCTTCAAGCTCTTGTTTAAGCTTGTCCTCCAAATACTTTGAGTTGTATTTACTCATTTTGTTTTGGTTGAATTTTCAAAACGAGGAAAATTCTGAGGTAGAGGTGGTAGTATTAAGTATCGATTGGCTCTGCTTCCAGTTTCGATTGTCGTTTGCGATATCCATAGATTTGTACAGTTTTCAATCGTTCATTCGAATGTTTGATAGAATAATTTAATTCAATAATACTAATTTATTATTAATAATGGTTTACATACTCTCCAGGAGAAGAAGCGGCCCTGTGAAGATATGTTGACATTTGTGACCGGAAATGGCGATAGGAATTGTAAAGTTGTTCTCGCTCATCGATATTTAAATAATCGGCCTTCTTGCATCCCTAACAAAAAAACACAAGATTTCAGAAAGCGCCAAATTTTTACGTTTTTTAGGATTAAGTACACTTTTGTTAAAATAAAGGAAGAGCACCCAAGAAAAAGCAAACTCATTTAGTTGGAATCGGTTCATTCATACGTTTGCCACATCATGTCCTTTTTTGGATCGAGTACACCGCTGGGAGCGAGCACGCCGGCCAAAAGTGAGTTGCAATGAAAACAAACGCAGCCCCTTCAAGCCCTTTTTTCCAAGTATCTGTGGGGCCCGGCCCCACTTGGTGGTAGCTGAAGTAATTTTTTGGCATCCTGTAGACTGTGTATGCGAATGTCCCTTGGATTGATGCTGCAACAGGATCATTTGATAATGGTCGTGAACATCAAAGGATATCAGCGAACTCACCCTTTCTTAAGGATAATGTACGCCACATACGCCGCTGAGACTAGCACCAAGAAAATTAAAATAAGAACAGCCATTTTTTCAACCTGTTGCGTTCAGTGTCCGAAGCAAACTATTGCTAGTTTAGAAATTAGAATTTCGGACACTGTAATCACAGATAAGAACCCACGGCGGAAGCTGAATAAAAATCATTGACCCAATCATTTGTTTTGCTTATCTCCCCACATGGAAGCTGGCGGCATGTTCGGTTCACCATTTGGATCGACGCCCGGAGCTGGTCAAGCAGTGTCTGCGTTCGGCGCCCCGGCGTCAGCTGCTCCAGCATTTGGAACCGCAACAGCGACGCCTGCTTTTGGAGGCGGAACTGCTTTCGGCACTCCCACGGCTGGGCAAGGCTTTGGAGCTCCTACTGCAGCGCAAGGTTTTGGCGGTGCCCAGACAACACCAGCCACAACAGGACTTGGTGGTGGTTTTGGTGGATTCGGTGCTGCCCCGGCAGCAGGTCAGGGAGGTTTGTTTGCCGCTCCAGCGACAAATACAGCTTTTAGTGGATTTGGTCAGCAGGCCGCTACCAGCACAGCGCCAGCGAGTGGATTTGCAGGCTTTGGGGCAACAACGACCACGGCTCCAGCTTTCGGTGGCTTTGGAACTGGTCAGACAACGGGATTTGGCGGCAGCGTGTTTGGCTCCAGTGAGTTCTACTATCATATTCAGATTCGTATCCGTAATATTTCTAACTTGTTTGTTTTGCAGACTTCGGAAAGCCGTCGAATACCACAGTTACTCCTGGCTTTGGTGGATTCGGTGGTACCAGTTTTATGCTGGGCCAGCCTCAACAGCAGCCAGCACCCATATCAGCCGATGAGGCGTTTGCTCAATCCATTCTGAATGTCTCAATATTTGGCGATGAGCGTGACAGCATTGTGGCCAAATGGAACTACCTGCAGTCCATGTGGGGTACTGGAAAGCTTTTCTATTCGCAGAGTGCGCCGCCAGTTGATATCACGCCGGAGAATTACCTATGTCGCTTCAAAGCCATCGGGTACAGTCGCATGCCCGGCAAGGATAACAAACTGGGACTAGTGGCTCTTAACTTTGATAGGGATCTTTCGGCCATCAAGTAAGTAGACGCCATATCCTCCACGCACAATTATATTCAATATGATACGTTCACTTTTCAGGCCGCACCAGCAACAAGTAATTCAAACCCTTCACAGTTTGTTTGGCGGCAAGCCCAACATGATGGTGCACGTTGAAACCATAAAAGAGTTGGAGAATAAAAAGTGTCAGATGGTTATTTACGTGGATGAGAAACTGCAGCATGCACCGAACGAGGGAAAGCGAATATTGGCCACTGAGCTCTCAAACTATTTAAACCAGGCATCGCTGAAACCTCAGCTAACGAATCTGGGGATTGTGGAATCATTGGCCCTAGTACTGCCCGACGAAGATCAACTGAAGGAATATTTGGAGAATCCTCCCAGAGGCGTAGATCCGCGAATGTGGCGTCAAGCCAATTTGGATAATCCAGACGCTGGTAAATTCCTACCAGTGCCAATGATTGGCTTCAACGACTTGAAATGGCGCGTCAAATGCCAGGAGCAGGAAACAGACACGCATGCCCTGTATATGAAGAAAGTGGAAGGAGAACTGACGGAGCTGAGACACCGGCATTGCATGGCTTCGGCCAAAATATTGGAGCATAAGCGCAAGCTGGCTGAGCTCAGTCATCGCATACTTAGGGTAAGAGAGAAATAATCCTTGTTGGAAGGCTGATAACTTATTCTTACATCAAACAGATAATTGTGAAGCAAGAGTGCACACGGAAGGTGGGCTCCTCGCTGACACCCGAAGAGGAGGCCTTGCGCACCAAGCTGCAGAGCATGCAGGCCGTTGTATCGGCACCCACACAGTTTAAGGGGCGGCTCAGCGAGCTGCTATCCCAGATGCGAATGCAGCGCAATCAGTTTGCTGGCAATGGTGGGTGCGAGTATACGATGGACCCGGAGGCCGAGGATGAGATGAAGAATTTTTTGACCATGCAACAGCGCGCCATGGAAGTCCTGAGTGAGACTGTCAATAAGGACCTCAAAGCCCTTGATGTTATTGTTAAAGGATTGCCCGAACTTAAGCAGGCATGATGTGAGCGAAACCGTTTAATAAAGTACGAACCGATGTCCGAGTCAATGAACAAGTTATGGTCGTTACACTTTTCCCATTATGCCGCCACACACTAAACATTTCCTGTAACTTTGAACTTGCACTTTTACGGCTATGGATCGCAAGACAATCGAAACGCGTTCACACATTCGTCCCCATTGCTGCGGAAATAATTGTGTGGGTCAATGCACTTACAGTCGAAGCCAAAGACGAGGCAGGCGGCCGACGGCCGACTTTTCTCTGGCCACCGCCTGAAATTGGACAATTTCTTCAGCGGCGATGGCAATTGCCTGAGTGACAAACTGTTAGTCACCTCGCCGGTACTTCCATTCCAGTTTGTTCAACTGCAACGCCAATGCGCTGCTGTTACATTAACATTATTATGCACAAGAGCGTCGTGCACACAGGCAAAGATTTGATTTGGCGTGCATGTCTAGTTTGGCTCGTTACATATTTATTTTCTTGTGTGAGAAACTTGTTTTCTCGCAGCCAAACTGCTCTGCTCCTTGACTGTTGTTGTTGGGACATTGATGGTGGAGACTTCCGAGCTTCCGTTTGAGCGTGGAGCATGGGAGCATGGAGCATGGAGAGCGACTATAAATGAATAGGCTTGCCCAAAGCAGGCCTTACTTCGTGTGAGATCTTTGAAGTGAAGGTGCTTCAGTCAGAGAGCAGTGCATGTGAAACCGAAAGTGGACCATTTAAAGTGTTTGGATTTGGGTTTGACATCAAAGGCAACATGAGTGGCATATTGATTGTGAGTGGAAAGAGTGAAGGATCCGGTTTCGGTCCTAATTCTATGTTCTTTGCAGCTGCTGTTGTGCATCTTCTGTTCGAGTGTCACGGCCAGCCCCACAGCAGCACGTCGGGCACAGCTCCATGATGATGTACAGCTGCTACACCCTCACATAATAACCCTTGAGCGTTTGGAGAATTTGCTCAGGAGAGCTGGCGAAATCTTTGGCCCCGCCATTGAGGAAGACTCAATGGCGGAAGCCAGCAGCCATGTGCAGCAACAGGTGCAGCCGCAACAGCTATTGTTGCCGCCCACAGAGCAACCGTATAACTTCTATTTGCCCCTCTTCGACTATGTGGATCCCAACCTGGATGCCAAGAGCAGGCTCCTGGAGAAGATAGCTCCTCCGCCGGAGTCGCAGAAGCAGGAGCACAATTACTATGCGGACAAGCCAAAGAAGAAGCCAAAGAAGTTCAATGCGGCAGCCAAGCATATCAATCTCAATCTGAAGTGGTTGAATACATATGAGAAGGCCATGGGCGGGGAGACGCCCAAGGCACTCTACCTGGAGCAGGATGAGCGCAATCGCATCAACTTTGACGATTCCTTCTTTGCTGTGGACATGCAGGTGAAGATGCCGGATAATCAGCCACACAAAGAGGCTGGCCCCGGAGAACTTCTGCAGCATGGCGAAGAGCAGGCGGAGGAGGATCTAATGGCGGCTCCTGCACAGTTCAATTACGACTACAAATCGATTGAACAGGATCAACATCACTCATAGAAATTGTTCATTTAATTTTAGTCATGATATAAAAATACAGTAATAAATGTAGTCCATGCGAGAAGTGGATGGCTATTGCGAAGCTGTGCTTACTTCTCCTGCTTTGTCTTTCGGAGCTCTTTGCAAAGGGTTTCCACGGGGTCTTGCTCCACCACAGCTTCCCCTTTTTTGGCCTTTTCAGCCTCTTCTGCCTCTAGTTTGGCCACACCTTCTCGTACTACTTTCTCAATGTCATCAAGTAGACCCGACGCACCAAAACGGAAACGTTCGGGACGCAGCCAGCGCATACCAAGAGTCTCGTTCACCAACGTCATCCAGGCAATGGCATCTCGCACAGTTCGGACACCGCCAGCTGGTTTCAGGCCGACAATTTGGCAAGTGCGACGCTTGAACTCCTGTATGGCGAATATCATAACCAAGCCAACAGGCAGCGTCGCATTCACAGACTCCTTCCCCGTGGAGGTTTTTATAAAGTCCGCTCCAGCCAGCATGCATACCATAGCCGCTTTGTAAACCTGTAACGGGGATGTCAATCAACCATTATGCTTGCCGGTCATCAGCTTACATTCTCCATTGTCCCGAGCTCGCCTATGGCCAGAATGGTCTTCAAGTGTGCGTTTCCACATGCACTGCGCATCAGAACCACCTCGTTGTAGAGGCCCTCCCAGTCGCCCACCAGTGCCAGTTGACGGTTGATAACGATATCAATTTCGGTTGCGCCAGCCAGAATGGCATGACTAATCTCTTGCAGGCGCGTCTGCAGTCCATACTGGCCAGTGGGGAAGCCAGTCGCTACTGCTGCGATGGCCACCTTGTTCAGTTTGTCGTACTGCTGAAGTGCCTGGTAGGCATCCTTCACCCTAGCCGGGTACACGCAGACGGCGGCTGTATGAATCTCAGAGAGAAGAGCTCGTTCGAAGAATTTGTCAAAGAACTGTGGCTCGAACGGATAGCAGGCACGCAGGCACAGTCTGCGCACATTGGCCGCCGTATCATCGCCCGCCAGAGTGGTCAAATCCGTCAGCATCAGCGCCCTCAAGGCCCAGGCAATTTCGTTTACGCCGCTCACATGGCAGCGCTGGGACACAGTCGACGCAATCTCCTCGATCTGGCGCAGTGAAATGTTAACAGCGAGCAGGGAGGGGTCTACGAAAGTGTGTCAAGAATCTCAGTTTTGTTCTCTATTCGTTAAATGTTTTTATCACCATAAGGAAGGGTTTTGTTCACTTCAAACTCTTTTACGTCCATTTTCCGGTTTGTTCCCCGTTTTGAGATATGCAAATGATCTTGACCTTCTAATCTTCTTCCGCCCCAACCTCAACCTTATCAGTTTAAATAAAACTGAATGTTAAACAAATAATTTTACCACACGACACGTTCACTAGATAACGAAATAAATCACCAGCACGTTTTGACTGGAATAAAACTTTTGACAAGTCAACAACTTCTATTTCTAGGCTTGTTTTTCTAGTGTACACAACCGAAAATATAGAACAGCTGATCACTGCGAAACTGCCACCACCAGCGATCAGTTGTCGCGTGATTTATCGAAGCACTGCCATCACAATTGCGGAACAAAACAAAGCTGCGAAGTCCCGAACCGGCGGCGCGCAGCTCTGCCTCAGCCCAAGACAACCCCGGAGGTGCTCTACACGGACTGTTTATCAACAATGAGTGGGACAAGAGAATCGCTGAAATTCAGGGTGGCGATAAGGAGGATATTCAAGCTTGGTTCCCCTGGAGTCAGGCAAGTCCCCCAACATTATCCTCTCTGACTCGGACCTGGACTACGCCGTGGAGACGGACCATTTCGGCCTCTTCTTCAACATTGGCCAGTGCAGCTGAGCACGGCTGGCACATAAAGACTCGAATAAATTTGTTTCTAAATTGCTTTAATACTTTTGACAAGTCAACCATATCTATTTCTATGCTTGTGTTTCTAGTGTGAAACTACAACGAAAACTTTAGTGTACTCCGACACGAGGTATACGATGAATTTATTTGCACTAATGAAACTATTGCTTTTGTGGTTTGAGGTCTGTCTGGGGGTATCAGCGATGCTTTGCCCACTGCTCCCAGTATTCACGTTTCTGCATCTCGTAGAGCCTGGAAATCGTACGCTCGAAGGCGAACAGCTCCTCTTCCCCGGTGAACACACTGGACTTCGATTCGTGCTGCAACGAAGCTGCTATAGTGGAACGACCATTAGCGTCAGGCCCATCGACTCACCGTGCCATGTTTGATTTTCAAGTCGTCCATTAGAATGCGATCCGTATCTGAAATGTCAGCGGGATCGGTGACCTGGAATAGATTGTCCAGCGGATAGTCGGCTGATATTACCACGCGCACTCGGTTGTCGTAGAGCGTATCTATCAGCGTTATAAATCGCCGCATTTGTGACTTAATATTTAGGTTCAGCGAGGGCACATCTCTGATGAGGACGGTGTGAAAAAACTGAGATATCTGCAAGTAGTCGCTACCTGCCAGAGGCTTTGGGAGCAGACACGAAAATATCAATATTTTTTCGAGATTATATGTTGCTAAGGAGCACTTACGCGATTGCAGAGCTCTTCAAAACTGCTGTCCAAGACCTGGCCACACGTGCGAACGAATGTAAGATCTCTTCCAAAGTGGGTGATGGTGCGCGGCCTAATGATGTCGTTCTCTTCGGCGCAAAGTATCTTAAACATCCGATTCATACTGCCCTCCGCATCGCTCTGGCCCTTGACGAAGTAGTTGGTGTCGCCGGACTGGGCAATGCGTCGATAATCGATGGAGTCCAGTTTGGCCAGCTGGCAGCGCCTTTGGAGCAGGGCTATGAACGGGAGAAAGTTGGTCCGCTGCAATCCGTTTTTATACAGATCTTCGGGATGCCGATTGCTGGTGGCAATTATAACAATGCCTTTTCTGAAGAGATGTGTAAAGAGTCGCTTTAGGACCATGGCGTCGGCTATATCGGTCACCTGAAACTCATCGAAGCAAATCAGCCAGGACTCGCGGGCTATGATGTCTGCCACGGGTTTCGTTGGATCAAAAGGAGCTGGTTTCTCCGAATTGAATGCCCGATCGACGGGTCCTTGCCGCTCCTTTGCCTCGTGAATGCGGCCATGCACACTGTTCATGAAGGCAGTAAAGTGAACACGTTGCTTGCGAGGGATCTGTAAACTTGTAAGTTGCTTGTAAGTTTCTGTTTATTGTGTAATCTATTAGTCACCTGAGTGCAGCAGTCGTAGAACAGGTCCATTAAGGTTGTTTTCCCCACCCCCACACTGCCATAGAGGTACAGGCCCATTGGGGCATGGCTGCCTGCGTTTAAGTCATCTGCCGCGTCATCATCGTCGGTTCTTCTCCGCCCAAAGATGGAGCTGAAGAATCCGCCACTGCTGCCCCCGCTTTGGGTTCTCGGTCTGTAGCCTTGAATCCTGTGGTACAGGGCATCTAGTTCCTTCATGGTCTCCAGTTGTTTATTGTCGGGCATCAATTTGCCCGCTCTGACACGCTCTTGATATTCCGGCAAAGGACTCAATCGACTCGCATGGCAGGTTTGGGTTTGTGCCACCAGTTGGTGTGACCTAAACAACACCGTTCTATGTCGCGTACAGCGGATTACATCTCCGAATTGACGACGAAACATTGTGAGGGGAGGATCTTAGCGCTCGTATCTATTTGTTGTGTTCTTGTTATCTTAACATATTACATAAAGCTATATTTAGTTGACCGCGAATTTTTGGCCGTGAAATTTGTTGGTGCATGGTATCGAATACACCATTCGGACTTCTTGAATTCGTCAGTATATTTGCGGTATTTTTAAAATATATTTTATCGATAAGAGGTAAAAAAATGTTATGTTTTGAAATCAATAAAATGAAAAAAATTTAAACAATACAAAAACTTAAAATGTTTTAAAATTTTACATTTTGCTTTGTACTTTGTCCTTACGTACATACATACATACAGATATGAGCTTGAGCAAAACAAACGGAATAAGTTTGTTTACGTTTGAAGGAAGAATGGAAAAGAAAAGGAAAAAATGCTAAAATATTTGTATTATTAATTGTATTGTATTTTTATGTTTTACTGTTCCGAATTACAAATATAAATAAAATACAAGGAATTTAATCTTTGTGCTACATGTTCATTGAGTCCTCCGTACAATAGTCTGTTAGACATGGGTACCGGTTAGGCCGGTTGAATGGCTCGTTGAATGTCTACCGTTCATCGTGGCTTACCTGAGCGCCTCTTGCTGCGGGCAAGGGCCGGACAGAGCCCAGACATAGGCGGCGGCATGGGCCGTATCACCATGGATACTATCGCCGGTACTGATGCTGGCGGTGGTGTTGCCCGTGCCACTGCCTGCGTAACAAAGATTTCCTTGTGCATTTTGAAGCGATTTGGGATGGTTTTCATGTCTTCCTGGCGCTGCCAATCAATATGCTTGATGCTCTCCGCATTGGACACAAGGGCAGCCACCTTGGCGCACAACTTATTCTCTGGCTTCGGCTTTTGAGCCGCCACAGCGCTCTCAGCAGCCTCTATAGAGGAGACAGCAGCCGCTGGGACAGGATGCACAGCAGAAAAATGGGCTATGGGATCAAAAAAGGCAGCAATGGAATGCAATTTAGGTGTAACATTCGACAGAAAGCGCACTCTCCTTTCGACTCCTCGGGTCTGATCTGACTAACGCTAGCTTCAGATGCTATTGGAGCCTTCGGTATTATGGTCTTGTTGTTGCCGGTCTCGAAAAGCTTCATGCGCTCCTTCAGCGACAGCTCGTACGGATCCTTTTGGAAGCGGTGTCCTCCTTGCAGAAATATCTCCTCAGAAATATACTAAAATATACCGTCTCATTTTAAAAATATAACGTAAATATACTGACGAATTCAAGTTATATTATCCATTTCCTCGTTTTTGCTATTCCAGCGATTTTTTCTAGACAGATCTCTGCCCACATAATTGTATCCAAAAAAAAACCTATTTTCTACATGACTGGTTTATTTTAAATACTTGCTTTTATTTTATTTTGACTTAAACAAGGTTTAAACGAAAAACTTAACAAAAACGAGGGGGAACGATGTGAGTTGCTGCGGACATCGCAACTCTACACTTATACCCGATACTAAGTCAGTATGGCTCTCCAAATTTGTGTGTCTGTACCAAATTTGGTTACTAGCCTTAATAGTCTCTGAGATTTGTTGATGCCTCAGATTTTCGTCCTTTGCGGGTGCGGAAGGGGGTGTGGCGAAATTTTGACACAAAATGGTCAAGGTCCGATATCACAGGAGTGTGGATACCAAATTTGGTTGCTCTGGCTCTTATAGGTTCTGAGATCCTTGAACTCATATTTTTCAATTGGCAAAACCGACAATGAAACCTGTGTGTTAGAGAGAGACAGAGCTTCTTGATTCTGGCTATAATAATTATACGCTCTGGTTCAGATTTTGCACTCTAGAAGATATAGTCATCTTCTATGATTCTGCGTTTTTTGTTTTCTCGTATCGTCGAAATTGTGGATGCCACAGATTTTCGCCCTTTGTGGGGTCGGAAGTGGGCGGGGCAAAGTTTTGAAATATTTTTGTAGCAGTGACATATCACTGAAGTCTGGATCCAAAACATCGTTGCTCTAGCTCTTATAGTCTTTGAGCATTAGGCGGACGGACAGACGGACGGGCGGACAGACGGACAGACAGACAAGGCTCAATCGACTCGGCTATTGATGCTGATCAAGAATATATATACTTTATGGGGTCGGAAACGATTCCTTCTGGACGTTAGTGTGTATGAAAGTAGGGACATTGTTGAGCTGAAAAGAGACATTGTGGCGAGGAAAAATCTCTCTACGAAGAGTAGGTATACCATCACAAAATGGAAAGTAAATCCCAAAAAAAAGAGAGCAAGTCCCACCAAACTTGAGCACTTGTGAATGAAAGTGAATGAAAGAAAAGGATTTAAATGGAAATATTGAAATAAATGATGCACATATGGAAGTACGATTTGAAAGCGAAAATTTATAAAACCTGCGTACGGTAGCTTACATACCCTTCGAAAATTAAATTTAATAGATGAAATTGATATAATATTCGAAATTACGAACTTTCTTTTCGTTGCGAGAGCAGCAGTGTGACCCTAAGAAGTATACCAATGAAAAAAGCGAATTTATCCCACTTAACCCACTAACATTTGCTAAGTTTGGGTGATTGTAAATATTAAGGTCTATAGTTCAGGGGATAAAGTATGATAAAAGGAGTTATATTTATGGCAAAGGTTCATGCTGGGCATAATTTCACCTACGGATAGGCCAAAAAACTCGGGTAGGTCTAGACGGAATCGGAAAGTTAATCCTTCCGAGAAGGAGCTTGTGCGCAAACCTTGATTTTAATTTTAAAGTTTAATATTAGTAGCTAGCTTGGACCCTGAGCCCTGAATACATAATTTTTTCCGATTAATAAATACATTTTATTTGATTTTTATTTGATTGAGTCTAAAATAAGGTTTTGACGAAAAAGACCAACATACAAATAAAAGCATAAAAAGTAAGTGAGCCTTTGAACACTTGTTGCTCGTCAACCGCAGTATGAACACTTTTACTAGAGATCTGCATGGCTTTATTCAATTCTCTATTCCAATAGAAATCCAATATAATATCTTATAGCTAGATCTGGCTATTTTAAATTTCAATTTATATAAAAATTTTGAAATTTATATAAGCTGGAAACTCGAATGTTTAGAATATATATTTGGAATTTGGAAACAGCCCCTCACTCTACTCATTTAATTCGTGACAAGTCGTTTGAATGTTGTGTCATCGCACTCATTTACTCGAACTCTATTGAATGCCGGTTTCTTGCTATTCAGACCTCTAATTTGTACCCTATATATAGCCTACATACTCTATTTCCTCTAAATAAGATTAAAAATCAGTTTTCCAGGCTGCTTTGAAACGTTAATAATAATTTTTATTAGATTGAAATTTTTTTCACCTATTCAGGTCTGTATAAATATATCTCGGTTACGAGAAAGCAAAATTTCGTTGAGATAGCGTTAAAGCAGAGAGTAACAAGATTCTGCATTCATAGCGTTTTGCGTGCATATTCTCACTAATTTTAGCCTGGCTGTATGCGTTTTCTTAGTACTAGAATGGAAATCTGGTTTTTTTTCTCTGGCGGCACATCTATGTACATTGTACATGTGTACTGTGGTTAGTGTCTAGTGTCACTATCGATGCGATCGATGTTTGTGCTGTCTAAATTTGAAACTTAAAAACCTGCACATTTCGATATTGAAAATAAAATAAAATCATATTAAATGAACAAAGCTGTTATATATTCACATCTGTCAGGTTTCATTTCATTTGTTTTAGATAATAATAATCAGCAGAAATAATGCCCATTCACGCGTTCACTTTATTGTTTTAAGAACATTGCACTAATTTAATTTGACAAACGTTTCATCATCGAGAATCGCAAAGTTGTCTTCACGGAAATGGAGCAAGTTATCGTTGAAGCATTTGCTGCTCTCATTATGTAACTTTGTCATGACAGGCTTGATATTCTTCACTCCAGCGGTTTCTGCCAAGTCTGTGAAATAGTGAATCTAAAAGCAGAAAATTTAAGTAAATATTAATTTACGATAATCAAGTTCAAAGATATTATTATATACCTGTTTAGGTCCCAGCATATGTGCATGGCGTTTCCTGTACCCGTCTTCCCAAAGCTTCGACATCCTCGTTTGTGTATCCTTTAGCATATCCTCTCTGGACGGCAATTGATTTGAGCCATTATAGTAGCTCAAAATAAATCGGGCTTGGATATCCATCATTTGTGCGGCACAAACGTAGAATGGCAGCCCAATTAATGCCATTGTAGGGTTTCTTATATTTATACAGTGCTTATAGAGACCTTGAACATAGTTTTCCTCAACATATATACCAGAATTTACTGTCAGAAAAGGGAAAGCATATTTGTACCCAGTGCAAAAGAAGATGGTATCAAATTCTTCGTATGATCCATCCACAAAAAATGCTCCCTTCTCGTCAAGCTCTCTCACATCCGGTTTCTGATAAACGTTATCATAAAATTTCGTATTTTCAATGTCGCTTAAATGGTGACTTAGAGAGACTCTCGCAGCAGATCTCGATATTATATTGGATAGATCCATACCACTTGGGCCAGCGCCAATAACTAGTACAGTTTTACCTACATATAAGTAAATAGTTTACTATGATTTTTTTCAGTATATATGTATATATAGTTGTAACTTGCCTTTGAAGATACCACTAGTTCTGTAGTCGTGACTATGCAAATAGTCGCCCTGAAAACGATTCATGTTCGGAATACGAATATAGTTTGGAGTATGGTAATGACCGTTTGCTACCATGATCTTATCGAAATATTGGAATTCTATTTGGTTAGTAAGCAGATCTTTGACAAGAACCTAAAAGAAAATGGTTTATAGTAAACAGTAACGAGTAACAGTAATTTGTTCGAATAAAACTTACTTGCCACTTTTTATTCTTCTGGAGAACTCGAATAACATAGCTATTAAATTTGATATACTGTTTCAACTTAAAGTGATCCGCATACTGATTTAAAAAATCACAAATTTCATCTGATCTTACATAAGAAACGTCGTTTTCGGGTATTTCAAAGTCCGGAAACCCCATAACTTCTTTTGGCAAATTGGTTCTGTACAATAAGATGTAAATGTTTACATATTATCTTTTTGATCTCTGTAGTTATGCGATCAATAAAACTACATAACACAGATTAAATTAATGATTGGATTACATGTTGTAATCTTACCGCAAATTCTCATACATAGAAGAATGAACATCAATACCATTTTTGACCTTTGTTGCCTCATTGTACACCCATGTTCCACCGATTCGTTCAGAAAGTTCAAAAACGGTTATTTGAAATCCATGCAATTGCGAGTGGCGGGCACAGCAAAGTCCCGCAGTACCAGCACCAATTATACATAAGCTCATTATATTACAGATAGCTCCGATTAATTGTTTCTACGGGCGATATGCCGAGCTCGCTCTTTACACTCTGATTGATTTAACGAAACTGAAATCGAATCAAGAGCTGTATGTCTTCCTTTATTTTCATACCCTTAAGAAGGTGAGGTACGTTATATTTATGATCCATCTTGATCAATACAAAATTATAATTTAATTGTTATATACCGATTATTAGATTATTATAATATTCATAACCAAAACATCTTCTATAAAAGAAAGATGGAAGGAACGAGCAATACATTTTCGAAGTGTATTTACCATTCGGTATAAATAATCAAACGTCAGTTTTTATATATTTTACTGATTGCTAATATTTCACTGATAACAGTAAAGCATAAAACAATCTTAGCTACAGAGGCCAATACTTGTTCATGTTCGTACCCAGAGAATACAAGGGTAAGTACATATATTGTATTCGTGCAAATGTCCGCTTTTCTATAAAAACTAGAGTAGAGATCCATTGGTTTTGACATGGTTAGATCCCCAAAAATCTTTACGATTGGACAGCCGAATGATGAAAAAAAGTTCTCTATTTATTTTTTTAGCATTCTTACCGTATCTATGAGTATTATTTCAGATATTTCCTCTCAAATATATGTATGTATACATACATATAGTCAACAATGCTAACCAACTTCTTACTCGCATGTTACTTGTCCCACACTCAATGGACATAAATGTGGGAAAAGTAACACGGGTTCCACTTGCACTGCTGCAACTTCAGTTAAGAGTTGACTGTTGAGAACGGCGAACATGGGACTAGCGGCTTGTATATGTACAAAAATTCTGCAACTTGCAAGTGTTTTTACAAATTCTTATGAACCATAAAATATATCTTTTAAAAACAGAATTTTCTAACGAATTAACGCGGTCATAATTGTATTATTTGCTCACAGATTTCTATAGTGGTAGCTTTAATTGTGAAACGACTGTCCGACAAACATTCCGAGAGAGTTTATGTCAGCAACCAAAAGCAATCGAGGGAGTGGAGGCTTCTTAACAGCATTTCAGGGACAAAGGAAGGCGACGATTTCAGTACGCTAACCTTCGTTGGTTTCACATTCATTTCGTCGGTGTTGCTTCTTACAAGGTAATTTAATTCCATGCCAACTCTGTATTGCCTCATTTCAGCCCTCACCTGATGGCATACACCATTGTTTTTCTCTCAAGAGTCTCAAGAGTTTTTTAAAAATAGTCAGGCCTAATCGCCTTTTCCTTCCAGGATAATTCAACGAAATTCGAATTATGATACTTGTGAAATTATTCTTTTATGTTTTGGATGTCTGTTCTTCACCATAGAGGGTACTTATATTAGATCTTAGTGCTGATACCAATGCATAAATAAACCGAAATTCTATTGCAGGATTGCTCATACTTTTTACTGTGGAACAGTTGCCTGAGCAGATTTTAACATATGCCTATTCGCTTGGAGCGCTTTCCTTTTTGTGTGCCGCCTTGTTCGCTGTGGATCTGTTGTTGTTCAAAAACTTGCTTAAGTCTAAGAACGCTGCTGCCCAAACGGATTATCAATTAAAGGAATCTTCAACTGTAACAATGAAAGTGTTTAACGTTTCCAATGCAGACAAATCCAATTGTTGCAACAGTTCTAATCTTCCTAAGTTCAATGTGAGAAATGAACAAAGTGTTTTACGAACCGATCTATAAGGAAAACTATGTATTTTAGAAACATTTTCTTACACTATCTGTTTCTTCCAAGTGCAATAAATAAAATATGTTGACCAAAACTACAATGAGGGTGCTGAAATACAGTCAGTAGTTAAAAAGACCGCATCATCAGCTCAGAAGACGGAGCCGATCCATTTTATGCATTGCTCGATCTGGATATGTATCTATTTAGTTTTTCTTTCCTCCTAATCTCTATAAAAATCAAATTTATATTTTTACATACATATACGCATTTTTCTTTACTTTTATTGCCTTAATTTTCCAAATGCAGTGAAACAAAATATGCATTATAAGATGGTGCTGTTAAAGTAACTAATTTGAATTTGAATGTTTAATAAAAGTTTGACATTAATCAACGCTAGCAGCATTTCCAACGAATACACAAAATTGTATGATTTAAGAATACTTAACAGTGTACACTATAATACGTATAATAAGCTGTTCTGGCTCAGAACAGTAAAAATGATACTCTCGTCCTTCTGGCATCTCCTTTGGCTCTGCGAGCCATCCCGTACTGTCATATGCTCCCCTCGCTGCTACTAATCGTTCCTTTGGAGTCACACATTCCACCAGCCAGATTCTCACCGCCCACAGCCCCGGATGTAAGTCCGCCAGTTATTCCAGTTAAATTTAGTTTGTACTGCGGAAAAAAGAGTCAAAATATTTAGAAAACATATTACATTTGAATTTAAAATTAATACATTGCTAGCCGCTTAACTAAAAACTTATAAAACTTGGCGATACATCGGATCAATATTGGCTTAAGAACGTACCGGTAGAGTCAATGATTCGAAATATTCAGAAATGATCTCAGAGACTATCATCTTGTAGGCGGTAACGTTTAACGAACCATTTTTTTCCCATTACCATCCTTAAGCTAAGGTTTCATTAGCTGGTAAATCGTTGATACAACGATATTGAAACATTAAAAATGATGCTGTACAGTCGTACTGGAGTACTGTCCTTCTACTAAATTCGAATACAAATTAACCTAAAATGCAATCTTTCTAGCCTTGGGTGTTTTGTACTGTTGCCTTTGAGAAAAATTGGTGGTAAATATTTAGCATTTTTTATATTACAGGGAAAGCTACAAGTATTTGACTAAATCTTTGACTTACATCGAATAACGTTTTCAATAGGAATTCAATAAAAAGCACCATATGAAAACTCGTTATTACCCTTTAAAAAAATAATAGTAAAATCATACCTGTAACTGGTATCACAGCTAAATATGACCCTAATATTTTTAAATTTTTAAATTTTATACTTCATTTAGAGTTTTTTTACTTAACTGAAAATAGTTGGTTTTACGGGATTTTCTTAGTTTATGTTACCTTATTTGCGCACTCAAAGCACTTGGATACTACTTTATTAATAACGTTCATAAGGTTTTTCGTTTCTCTGATGACATGATCGACCTTCACAAAAGTGGCTGCTTTACCAACAGTGTGATCTTTGACTGTAAATTGTAGTGCTTGGACAAAAGTCGGCACTCTATCTAAAATGTTAAGAAGATCCTTCTTGTTGTCACTTGCGGGAACCTGAAAGTTCAAAAAGGAATGTAAACGGTTTCCTGCTTCATCGGTTCAAGGCAGTTGTATGCATCTACCTGGTATGAAAAGTGACGTAGGACTTTATAAAGTCGATTGGCTTCTTCAGCAAAATATTCGGCTTGAGTAAATAAATCCTGAGTTGTTCTTAAAGAACCATTTCCTTTCGTAAATTGATACATGAGGAAAGCCATTGCTGACATGTTTTTAGCTCTCTTTAATATGTCGTTGTCGTCTGACAAGTCATCACCCCATTTTGATTGATATGTGCTTAGATCTCCATTATTTTTGCCTTCAAGGCCCGAAAACTCGACCATTTCGCCATCATCTGTTGCAGGTACACCGGACTTTGATAGTTTATCTGTCGCTTCACATTTCTAGGAAAGGAATAGAGGTACATATGTACATGCATATATGTATATGAACAAGTTTCAATCTAATTACTAAATATATTCCAAAATACCTCAGTTTCAGTTTCTCTTTCACTCTTAGTTGGATTAATTGATACAAGTATCTTCTTTGCGATCATTGATATCTCATTGGTCAGCCACTTCCACATGTCTGAGAATGATTCAAAATTTTCATTTGCCGCACTGCTGTTTGAATATTTCCAAAGAATTTTGGCGGCAATGAACACCTGCGGCCCATAGATTCTTAAATTTATAGCTAAGCATTTAGCTTGAACCTGCAGTCTTTCTGTAGGTGCAATATGCTGCAAAAGCTTGCAAATGTCAAATATGTGATCGCAGCAGTCATGGAACTTAGTAGAACGTTGGTTTAGATTATCGATGTCGTACGCCGTTGCTAGAACATGGAAAGATTTGACCAGCTTTGAGCAGATCTTCAGGGATTCATTGAAATCCTCAATCTGGCTCGATACAGAAATGACGAGCTGCTTGCACAGCTCCTCTAAGCTCCTCAGCATTCCGAGCTCCGGCTCCCGACCACCTTTCACCTGAACTCCAACATTTTCATGCTGGTCTTTCATTATGGCGTTAAGATACATGTCAAACTCCAGCTTGCAGTTATCGCAGTAGGTTAAAATGTTCTTTCGATGATTGTGACTTATATACGGGGAGTCTGTGAAGTCATGAGCTTTCTCAAACAACTTCTCAAACGCCAGTGTAAGCTCTTCGCGCATGTCCATGCTTTCAGAATTTAAATGCTTTCTAAAGTTGGTGTTATTGATGATACGACCGCCACCACCACCACCAACACCACCACCACCGGATGGGGCTAGGTTCTTTTCTGACTTCCAAAGATCATCGTCAAGGAAATTAAAGTATGAATCGGAATTATTATTTCCCTCAGTATTGCTGTCGTAGTAACTCATTTGGAATTTGTATCTCTTTATCAGATTTATAATACGCTTTATTGTCGTGTATATGCTCTCATTCTCATAATGTGGGTTACTTGCTTGCTTGTCGTAGGGCATATGCTTTGCCGAATCGAATATGCTATCCTTTACGACAAAGTGTATCAAGTCCATGGCTCTTCTTATCTGGCAGAACACAGTATCCCGGTTCTCCTTTACTATAACACAGTCACTGTGTATCAAGCTATTTTTCGATGAAGTTAGTAAAATTGCGATTGACTTTTCCAGAATTTGACGGGCAGAAAACATTTGAGCTCGCCGCCTCTCCTCTTTAACGGAGTTACGATGGTGGCCAGTGAGGTATGCTAATTCGATCATTTCTGTCCCAAAGACAGAAAACGCACGCACAAATTCAGTGAAGTTCATGACTGACTCCAGCTTCTCCAGGCTCTCCGATGCTCGTTTCTTAGCAGTTAATAATTTTTTCACAACTATTATGTCAACTAAAAGCAGTATTCTCGTAACCGAGGAGAGCAGAGACCTGGCAGCTAAGATTATTGCACCATAGTCCTTCAATGGCTCAATATTATGCCGAAGCTCCATACCACTTAACGGTGATATTTCACATAGCCGTTCAATAGATTTTCCTGTAGAATAAAATCAATTGTGTTAACTTTTTTACCACTCATATTAGTGACAGGCAGGCCTATTGGCCAATTCATTCACACTAAAAGGCTTATAAAGGTAATTGACGTAAACGTACCTGCGTCTCTTGCTTCTTTAGCAGCCTCGTACATGTCCCCCTTTATATCGATGTTCTCCTCTGCAATTATTTCTCCTATTGTTATAAATCGTTCGACAGCTATGTTTAGTAGGTGTCCTATGTTTCCAAAAGTGGACATGATTTGCTCGTTATCAATATCACGAACTCGAAAGCGTTGATTCTAAAACAAAAGCAGTTTTTAAGTATTTGTTAATTTTTCTAATCCCTCATCCAATGATGGAGTTGGTCTATAGCCAAATTAACTTCATAACGAATTTACATGCCGGTTTGAAACTTACGTTTACTGTTGGTTGAGTCATTCCGTACATTTTGGATACGATCAGTTCTCAATAAAAGAATTCACAACTTCCTTAATATGCACAGTTTGTATTTTATTCATGTAACATTTTTATTTACTTCGTATTGATTTTTCTCAGTACCTACATAGGTTTGCACAGTTGAATGGCGTTGCTTTAAAACTTAATCAAGTGTTTTGGCACTTGCTAATACCGTTACGTTACTGTGTAAAGTATGAGAATTTACATTTAAGCTCGAAGAAAAGTCAATATTTTAGCTAGCGAAAGTTTAATTAAGAGTGATATAGCTAGCTTTCTGTAAACAACGTGTTTACTATAGACGAATGTATATATACTTATACACTTTCAGGCCTATCCTATGTATATGCGGTTTGAACTTGTAAAATTTGTCTGTTCTGCGCAAATCGCGTGCGCAAAAAACCAACTTAGCACTGTAAAATGCAACAGTTTCTTGCAGAGAAGAGGGAGTTAAAATCTCGAATTGCAAAAAAAAATATTTATAATATAAGTAAGTAAGTATCATGGAAAACCAGTTGGAATAAATTTCTATATAAAATTATTTTACGCGAATTATTCCGAAGTGTCGTTTTACAGCACTTACAACAGACTTCACTTCAAGTTAAGGCCTAGTACTTAAATCAGCAAAAAAATAAAAAATAATAATAATAATAGATTAATATGGGAGAGGCAACGTAGAAATATTCTATCTTTCGTCGGTATTTACTTATAAGAAGCGCCACAGCGCCCACAAATATTATACTCAAGCCTGCTTTCATAATTGCAATTCATAATTTCAAAATGGGAATTTTTAACCAATTCAACCAATTAAATAAAAATTTAACACAACAGTGGGTACTATATGTCAATATATATGTATACTATATGGTTGGTGGTACTAGGCTTAAGGCTTGCCTTGCTCATCTTCTAAATGTCTTTCAGGTGTTCATGGTCTTGAAGTGTAGTGGAAGACAAAATCGGAATGTAACAATCGATAAATAACATACTTTTTTTTACAAGCCATACGATATTTTTAATGCTTTTCGGTATTTTTTGAGGTCAAATTTAAACCGACGGTATATCGGTATACTATTAAATTTCATTTTTAACGTTAAATAGAAATCTAAAAAAAAAACAAGTATTTAAATTAAGCCAATCAAGTACAAAATTGATTAATCAATAGTATAAAATTATCTGGGCAAAACTGAGAAATCTATATAGATGGGAATATTCGACGGAAGATTAAAAACGAGTATTTATTGGTGCATAACCGGTTGACAACAATGATTCCCGGCAACACTATTTTCATACCCTAGGGAAAAGGATATTATAAATTAAGAAAATGTTTTTCATTCCAGGATGTGTAGGTATCAGCATCGAGATATATATGTAAGAGATACTAATAATATACATGAATATGTCTAAAACATGTGAGAAAATTTCTTTATTAATTACGTTCTAAAAACAGTTTGTAAAACAGGATCTTCATATTAAATTAACGAAATAGGGTATTCAAAGGCCTATACACGCATCATGTCTTCAAATACCAGAAACATTGCGACTATTTTTATTGTTGAACTATTTTTTGTTAATGCCTTGTTTTAACCAAAGTACAATAAAAGCAAGGAATAAAAACTAGCCAATCTTGAAGAAAATTTATTCATCAATGGCCTAAAATGATGTGGGCAGAACTAAGGGTTCTATCTACCTAGTAATATTCGACGGAATATCAAAATCGAAAATATTGTTACGATTCCTTGACGGAGAACAATTAACCTTTTATAAGCCAAGGGGGTATTTAAATTTTTAACCAAAACTGATGAAAATTTAATCATTTTAGCACAGTTCAGGTGAAAGTTAGCGTTGTTATTTTTAATTTCAGATGAAAGATGGCCTGAATCTACAAGAAGAATTTACAATCGTTAATATTTTCTGCCATTTACCTGAAGAAGGTGAACTATTTAAATAGAGGGGGCTTAAGTGGGCTAAATTCGTTTTTTCATGTTGGAGAACAAAAACAGCAATCGCCGTAGCAATAAAATAAGTCAAGTATTTACAACAAACAGATCAAGTAGAAAATTGATTCATTTATTAGATAAAATTATGGGGGCAGGACTGAGAGATCTACGTAGCTAGTAATAGTCGACGGAATATCAAAAACGAGGAATAGTACAATAGAACTTGAATCCGTCAGTATATCTATGGTATATTTTGGTATATTTCTGATGGTCGGACATTATATTTTAACAATAAATCCGCGGCACACTTTTTGTTTAGCTTCCGAATAAATATATTATATTATTAAGTGAAATGGAGGCTATTTTAAATACGCAGTTTCAGGAGCTGGAAGATATCATCGGGGAAATATTAAAAGTAAAAAAGAGCGTAAGTGTTAACAAGCTGCAAAGTCGTTGGTTCCTTATTTTCATTATTTTTGTATGCAGGGGCAGAACTCAGACACATTGCGAACTGCGGCGGCATTGAAATTTGTTGCATTAAAGCATGCAAATCGAGAAGTTAAACAGAAAATAAAGTCTGGACGGGATAACTTACACTTGGAAAAATGTAAAGTGGACATAAGTCGGTTGCAATTGCAAAATCTTCTGTACGAAGTGAGCCACTTGAAAAAGGACATCGTGCGTTGCGAGAAATTCCAGAGTGGTGACTCCAAGTTTGTCCTGCTCTCAGACACTGAGTATTTTACCAAGTTGCCGGGACTTGAAGATAGTAAAGTGAAACCAGAATCGGAGCACTACAAGCATTTGCAGCGCTTAGAGTGTGAACTGCGTTTAAGGAAAGACCTGGATAAACAGAAAAGCTCATTGAAGAACTCAAAAAAGGAGCTGCAACAAGAAAATCTTAAACAACATAATAGGTACGTTTCATTCGTGCCAGCTCTACGCACACTAAAGAGTGCTACGAAACCGCTGCATGATGCACTGCAGCTTTCTCTTGATGTTGAATGGAAGCTTAGTGCTGTGGTCAAATATCTGCCCAAGCCTCTTTATATATTATTTATCAACCTGCAATGCCTTCAACGTGCGAGCGATGAGCCATCATTCAACGTTGAAGTGGTAGGATATGAAAGTGAAGCTCAGATGCAGGAGTTGACAAACCTAAAGCAAAACCCAAAAGCAAGGCGCGACTACTCTGAAAGGGACATTGAATTGTCGGGAAAACCTGAGGAATATCCTTTGAACAAAGAATTAAGTCCTCATCCTCTGCACATTCGCATCACGGTAAGATTAAACCGATACATACGACTATAGAAAAATACCTTAACGTTTGAACGGTCTCTAGCTTGGCTCTGCTGGCTCGATTCAACTGGTGTTGATTATTCGCTATTTCGAACAAATTAAATGTGCGACAGCATGGCCCCAATTGAGCATTTCCAATAATACAAACCATCAAGGGTAAGTTTTAGCGAGTGAATTGCTTTAGCAGCAACTGTTTTTAACATTTTCATGTTTTTAGGGATACTAATTTCGTTCAGCATCTCCTTCGGCATTTGTTTCCAAACGATTTGGGTAATGAAATACCTATACCTGGCATTCAATACGATGTAAGACAAGACATATATATATGTATGAATCATAAAATTATATATTTGCCTTAGTTACAGAATAAGGATCTGACACCAGAGGAATGCATACAATATCTGGAGTCTAAGGACTTTGGTAAAGCATACTGTTGGTTACAAAGTATATGCTCTATACCAACAGTCAACAGCTCGATGTTGTATAAGCATGAGCTGAACTTGAATAAAAGCATGCGGGAGACCATAGCTCGCATTACACGGCGCTGGAACTCTTGGTTAAATCTAAGTCAGCAAATACGTGGTCTGACTAACAAGGACATCGATTTGTACGCACTAAAAGAAAATGTCTATCCTGCGGCCTTGTCTTGCAGCCTGGTGCAGTGGACGGCGATCACTCTTGAGGAATTCCTAGCCCAAAATTCAGACGTACTAAAAATTTCTCCGGATGATAAGGGCATAACATACAATTCCTATCGTGCTGTGATTGTTCGTGGCTCTGCCAAAATGGAGTGTTTCATTCGAATACCGAGTAATTATCCATTGGAAATGCCACTCTGGATATTGAGTGTGCATTGGAACGGTCGCCGTACATCGCAGAATAATGCAGCTATCAAGGTTAGCTTGTTCAGACTTCCGTACGTTATATATAAGCTTATTTTGATACCATTTTGTAGATGATGGAGTACTGGACCAATTCATTGCAACCCCAACAGCTGGAAGCAAATTATCGTATTCTGTACGCTCAGCTTTTCCGAACTATTTATAGTTTTGACATCTTTCTGGAGACAGAAGGCTCAATGCAGGCGACTATAGAATACACCAAGGAAAAGCCTTATATAAGTGCATTTGCAAAACGATGCCGATTGCGTCCATATAAATACATAAAAAAGGGTTCCGTACACGCATTCAAACAATAAGGATCTAAATAAAAATATAAGAATATGGTTTTGTAAAAAAAAAATCAAAAGCAGTTACTAAACATCTTCACAGTTGCTGTTTATTATGTAAAATAATGCAATAAATAAGTAACATTTAAATATAGCTACAGTTTTATTGACAGCTTAGTTTCTGAGATGCTGTCGCTGCCAGGGACTCGGTTGGCAGGGTGATTGCAGAGACATTTTCAACAGACTCTCGACTCTCATCCGGCATAACTTTGTCAACAACGTGTTTTTCTATTAGACCGCTTTCTCCCAAGTAGCATATGGAAAATCCATCATACCATGCCTCCTGATCCTTCAGTACTTCCTTCAATTGCCACACCTTGTATTTCCAGAACTGGAACATCACCTTCAGGCCGGATATTCCCCTCACGCGCCACCTTATGCGCACGGTGTAGTCGTCGGGATGCTTTGTAATTTTAAGAACCTCAAACTTAACGTAGGCGTACTTTAGGTGACCGACAGTTCGAAGAATGGCAATTTGCTTAACAAAGTGGTATAGACCGACTGTGTGCTTGCCGGTAATATTGTTCTGAAATATAAGGTTTGGGCTGTATATGGAATAGTTCAGCGGTTCAACAAAGAGTTTGGGAAGCGTGGTTCGCAGAACTTCGTAGGCTCGCTCCAGATCTTCAGGCTTTCGAACATTTTTCTTCTCTTTGGCGGATGTTTGTACATTACTGTTTTCGTGAAGACTTCGTTTCGGTTGCATTATGTTACTACCTTCACATTTTAGCCAATTGTAGTTATATGATCCAGTGCAAGGAGAGTATAATCGCATTGTGGAAGCCCACACCTGTTCTTTGGAGCCCCACAAGCTTATCAAATTACACTTTCTCATTGAAAAAATTCCAAAATTTCGCATCATTTTGACAAGGACCATTGACGAATTTACCGGACTCTGGTAACTGTATTTCCCGTAATATGTTAAATGTTTCTTCCTTTTAAGCGTCACTCTGCCGTTCAAATATCACGTTCAAATTCTTCATCTGGTTTTACTCAGTGTTTAAATTGTGGTTTTTTTAATATTTTTTAGACGTGCTCGTGTTGTAACCAAGTTTATTTGGAATCGAAAAATCATATGGTCATATGTATATCGATATAAATATTTTGTACAATAAAAGTGTGAGGTGATGTGATAGTTTTTTTTGGGATATCTCAACGGAACTTTCTGAACTCAGAGACAGTTTACACTATTTTCCTGTAGTTTCAGTGATCCAACGTCGTTAGAATCATAGTTGGATAATGGAAATAAGTATCCATATTTGTATGTGATATTTCCCGTATGCGACTATACTTCAAGACCACTCTAGTCTAAATTATTGTCGCACCAGTCGAAAAGCTATTGAACTGTTTGTGCCAAAACGTGCCACTCAGTTGTGGTAGAGTAATACAGTATACTGTATGGTTAGTGGTAATACCTTACAAAAATAGATCCAAAGAAAATTCATGTCGACCAGGAATACCTAGATTTTTCATTCAAAACTTGAATTTATATTCTGAACGATTTAGCTTAGCAGCCCTTGAACGAAAAGAACTTGGTTCTTTGAATGCTCCATCCCTCATATGCACTTCAAAGTGGATTTGGAATTTAAATAATATTGGAAATATAAAGTTAGAAGAGCTGAACAAAAATTACAAGCCGCGAAATGCTACGAATGCTGCAAAAAAGGACCAGTATGGTAAAGCTCTTGGTTCCCAGACCCCGGCTAAACACGACTATTGCGCAAACCACAACAAAGGTAAGTAAATGGTTACTCTGTACATCGACGGTTATGTATTGTATATTATATTATATTTCTTCCATTAAAACCAATGTCTTGAAGGAAATACCAACGATTAAACAGGTTAGCATTTCCAAAAGCGAGAAAACTGTGGGAAGATGGTTTCTAGGAGTCAGCGGAATGGTTTTTGTTGCGGTTGGCCTTGGTAATGATATTCTCTTAACTAATTTGCCGGCAAATGCTGAACATGATTGCCCTTCTTTGCCTGCAGGTGGTGTAACGAGATTAACAGAGTCTGGCCTTTCTATGGTTACATGGAAGCTGACTGGAGAACGCATGCCAAGATCTCAAGAGGAATGGGCTCAAGAATTCAGCAAGTATCAACAATATCCGGAATATAAACTGCAAGTGTTAAATGCATTCAATTCACCTATTACATAAAGGTGTTAATGCTTCAATCATTTCTTTGTAGGAAAAATGCAAGCATGACTGTTGAAGAGTTCAAATTTATATACCTCATGGAGTACATACACAGAATGTGGGGTCGCGCCATTGGTGGATTTTTCCTTGTCCCAGCAGCATATTTCTGGAAAAAAGGTTATTTCTGTCCAAAAACCAAGAACAGTGTTCTGCTGCTGGGGACTCTGATTGGTCTCCAAGGGTTAATGGGATGGTACATGGTTAAATCTGGATTGGAGAACAGATTCGAAGACCAGAATGATGTGCCGCGCGTCTCTCAATACAGATTGGCCTCCCACCTAGCGGCAGCATTTGTTTTGTATGCCCTTTCACTATCACAAGCAATGTCGAAGCTATTCCCCTCGGAGCCATTCGTGGTGAAAGCAAAGAAAGCATTTAATATCAAAGGACTGTCACACATGACAAAGGGAATGGTGTTTCTAACTGCCATCTCCGGCGCTTTTGTGGCCGGACTTGACGCCGGATTAGTTTACAACTCATTCCCAAAAATGGGGGACAGCTGGATCCCTGATGACATGTGGCAGTTTAAGCCCATCCAAAGGAATATAACGGAAAATCCAACAACGGTTCAGTTTAACCACCGCATCCTGGGCATCACCACAGTTTCCCTAGCTACAGCCTTATGGCTAGTCACGAGGCGCATGCAGTTACCCAAGCGAGCAAATTGGGCAATCAACGCTGTGTTCGCCATGGCGTGGACACAAGCTACCCTGGGCGTTACGACACTATTGAACTACGTGCCAGTACCTTTAGCGACGGCTCATCAGTCTGGCTCGCTGGTCCTTCTTAGCTTTGCGCTTTGGTTATCACACGAGATCCGGTTCCTCAAGTATTTGCCCAAGTAAATCTCTAATGAACTGGATAAGTGTAGCATTTGATAAATGTGTAATAAAGTTTTCCTAAATGGTGGGCTGTAGCTACAATAACTGAGATTTTAAACGTTTGCAGATAGGAAGCATCTCCGTCCCTGTAAACTATCCATTTAGATGATAAAGATGTCAAGCCGAGTCACAAAAGAGTAGTTCGTCTTTTTAAATGAAATAAATGCAGTCGCTGGATTAAAAAAAAAAGAATATTCAAGGTTAATAGCAACAATCATTTAATTCATCCTTATTCAATATTCATTTTTACACTCTTTTTCTCATCATTCATCTGATTGTACTCAATATTATTGGTATTGAGACAAGAAGCAACGTTTTTGACATGTGCCGTATGCTCGATGCTGGACTGGTTTGAGCTGGAAACATGATTGTACACTGCCAGGGCTTGCGCCACAAATCCGTTTACATCTGCGGCGTTAGACGGCAATATCATAGTATTATTTGTTTTAGCCAGTTGCTTAAACGCTCCAATGTATTGCTCGGCTAGAGTGAGGGAAGCAGCATTCTTTCCATCCTAGAATAAGAGATCGTTTAATGAAAAGACAGTTGCCAATAACCATTGATAATCTATTTTTGTTAGCAATAAGATATGGAACTCATAATGGAAATGGAAAGTGATAAAGAATTTCATTAAAATTTGCGATACAGTTTTTGATATTTTAGAATTTTGGACTTTATCGTATGTTGGAGAAAAGGTTAAGTGCTGATCGTGGCGCCTGAGGCTGCTTTCGTTCGGTAAATACATTCCAGAAGCGAAGAGTCTCGTCACCGCCGCCCGTTACTATGGACTTGCCGTCTGGGCTTACAGCTAGGTATATTACACGGCGGTTATGACCCGACAGGTTAACAACTTGCTTCAGGGATGGATAGCGCCATACCACAATCTGTGGTTGTCCGAACCCATGAGTGGTAACAAGTTCAGATGAATTTCGCGACCATGCCAAATTACTGATCTGTGATCCGGTATCAACAGATTGTACCATCTGACCGCTAATCACGTTCCAGAAACGAAGGCAACGATCGGCGGTACCTCCGCCACTAGCCAAGAGTCCGGACTTGTGAGGAGACCAGCCCAGTGCCTTCACGGCCGCATTATGAGCGGTAAACTTATAAAGTGGTTCAGGACTTTGAGCCGTCCATATCAGCAAACGATTGTCATTACCTCCACTAGCCAGATACTCCCAAGTCGGAGACCATTGCAAGCCACAAACCTCCTGACTGTGTCCCTGCAAGCAGCTGGTGATAGTATTGGTGCGGATATCTCGCTGCAAAATACTGCGATCACGGGAGCCGCTCGCCAAGCTGTTACCTCGCCAGTCCAATGCGGTAACACGGGATATATGTCCGCTTAGACTAGAAATCTGCTTCTCGCGGTTGACATCCCAAATGGCTACGGAGCCATGATTTGTGCCAACAGCTAGCTCCTTTCCTCCGCTGTGCCATTTCACAGCTGTTATCAAATTGTCTTCGTCGCTAAGGTCACAAAGGCGTGTTACCTGGGAGTCTACTGCACTCCAAAGATAAAGAGAACATCCAAGGCCAACACCGAGTATGTCCTTCGACGACCAATCCAGGGCGTTTAAATAAAAGTCGTCCTGTAGCTCAGGGGCGTCAAGAACCTTATACGGCAGTCGAGTTATCCGGCGGACTGCACTAGTTGGACTGCAAAGTAGCCTACGACTGGCTTCGCTAATCCTTGAGAATGGGTGACGCGCGGTCTTATTCGGTGGAGTGTAATTTCCATATCCGAAAACGCGTATGTTTTCCTTTTCTGTGAAATCACCCGTATCCAAAAGAATGTTTTTACTGCGCTTGCATTCATCAATTGAGGAAACTTCAGAGTCCAGCAATTCATTTCGCAGCAGACATGCATATGGGGAATTGTGTAACTGTTCCGCAATAACCGGGTTCGGATCAGCCGTCAAATGATAGTTTCGTTCCCAGTTATTCCTGGCGCGTGAAGGAATGCAGCGTAAGTCCGAGTGCTCTCGCCCACTGGCTTCCGGTATCCCCAATCCCTGAAGCAGTCGTTTTTCATACTCCGGTTGGAACATTGCTTAATTTTAAGTATCGTGTTTCTGCGTTTTGTTAAGTTGTTAAGTTTTGTTTTGTGAATGTCTACTTTTCCCTTGTATACTTAGTTTTGTAAAGAGAGTGTTTTACTTACAATGTGCGCCAGAGACTTTGCTATGGCCTGCAGGCTACGAGCTCTTGCATCCGCTACGGCAATAATGGCAGCAGCTTCCCCGCTAGCTTTGTTTATATGCTCCTGCCGTTCAGCCTCTGAAAAAAACCAACAAATTAGGTTAGTTGTAAGTTACCGTGCGTATACATATATATTCTACCGGATGCCAGTATTCTCGACTTTCTTTTGCCTTCAGCAATATTAATTTCGGCTTCACGAACGCCTTCCGACTCCAATATAGCCGCTCTTTTCCTTCTTTCCGCTTCGACTTGCATTTGCATTGCTTCATGGACTCTTGTTGGTAGCTTGTTGGCAGATAAATTGTAAAATAAGATCGTATTTTTGTTGATGCTCATTCTAGTACTTACTCGTATATCTCGAATTTCGTAACGCAGACAAGCAATACCCCACGCTTCGCTTGCCTTGTTGATGGAATCAACAATGCTAACGTTTAGTGATTCCCTTTCTCGAAACACCTTGTCCAATGACATTTTTCCCAGCTCGGACCTCATTGTGGTTTGGGCGAGTTGTGTTATAGCAAACTCCGGATCTTCCACACCGTAAGACGCTTAAAAATGATATAACATGGTAAACACCAACACATCCAACCCACACACATGCAAATCGATGTATAACGAACCTCTGTATGGATCAATGATCCGCAAGTAAAGCACTCCATCAATATCAAGAGTGACATTGTCAGATGTAATAGCACTCTGTTTCGGAACATCTATCGCAATTTCCTTCAGGCTCTGCACATACTTGATTTTGTCCGCGATTGGAACCAAAACATTGAGGCCGGGGTCAAGAATTCTATGAAATCTACCCATACGTTCCACTACCCACGCCTTATTAATTATATTTACGATTGGAATAAGCCAGCATAAGTATTATCCAACATTAGAACATACCTCTTGTTGTGGTACGAACATTACAACGGTGTTCATGGGAGTCGATGTCTTTCCGCGGAACTGCGTGGTGACCCATGAGCCGGCAAGCAGGAAATCTTGCTGTAGAGTGTTAGCACATAAATACAAAATACAACATTTGGTTTGGCAGCAATGCAACAGACCTGGGGCATTAATCTTCGCGTAGATAAGAGAAATCTGGACATTTTTAAATAATGTGCTGATTTTGATATAAAAAAACTAAGAAGAAAACAATATATTAGTGTGACCGCGGATTCGGTGTGACCCTCAGAAATATACCGGAATATACCTTTTAATTTTCTAAATATACCGATGAAACGAATGATAAGATTCGATTCGGCAGGTATTCAAAATTTCATTTTTATACTCTATACTCCACTTTTACACTGATGGCTCAAAGCTAGACGGCCCCGTGGGTGTCGGAGTCTACTGTAACGAGTTAAAAATCAGACACTGCTTCAGGCTCCCGGATCACAGTAGTGTGTTCCAAGCGGAGGTTGTGGCCATCAAGGATGCCATTTCTATTGTCTCCAAACCACTCCTAGACACTCACTATTGTGCGTCTTCTCATGCAGCTATTAAAGCTTTAGGCTCAATATCGTCGAATTCAGCGACTGTAAACGAATGCCGCAGGTCTCTGCATGAGACCGCAGAGCAGTTAGATTTCTTCCTTTAATGGGTCCCCTGACGTAGGGACATCTAGGGGAATAATGCAGGCGACGAGCTAGCCAGGCAGGACACTACCATTCCTCTCTTATCAGAGAGTGAGCAAGTAGCGAAATGTTTGAGCAAAAGGCAAACGGGAGGTGGCAGGTACCGCCGTAAATAGTTGGCTCAAACCAGATCGCGGGCTTCAGATAATCGGTAGAGTAAACTTTAAATATCAGCAACTTTCGAATAAATTTTGGCGCAATGCAGCTAATGGCGTATCTCTTCATACTGGGTAAGAAAAGGAATCGGGCGATCGGATTCGGATGACCCTTGGGATTCCTCGAACAGCATTCATTTGGTTGGGGAAAACAACTGACTGTTCGACCCGACCTTCTTTGTGATGACTGGAGTGTCGCAATCAAAATTTTACCTTCTGGCTTTGCTCGAAGTAAGAAGCTGTCACTGCCACTGTTTCTGCACTCACTCAGAACCAACTAGATTCTCGATCTCAATTACTGCTCAATCTTCCCCTAGTTAGAAAATGCCTGGCGCAGCTAATGGACCGGAACATAGTTCAGAATGAGATGATGCAACTGATTGGATTCAGTCTTCGCGACGAGGTGGGGGTCAGACCACCAATTATCTGAAGCGAAAGTTAAAGCGGATTACTGTACGCGGACTGTACCCGGTTAACCCCTCTTCCTCCGTGGCAGAGATACGTGGACACAGTTGATGTTATCCTCACGGATATTCAGGGTCGAGTAATGTTCCGTTCAATGGGGTATCTGGACTTCTACGCCAGCTGCGGACCCCAGCTGTATGGAGGAGAACCCAACGATCCCGGGAGCTGCAACCTTTAGAGAGCTTCCCGCTTTTATGCGGAGTTTATTAGCTCTACCATAGGTTTCTGGGGTTGCCAGTGCTCCAGTTGGTTGAAGACTCTGTTCTACCAGTGCCCCGCAGTACCTGATGGAATCGTTTTATGTTAAGTCAGCCAACGACACGCCCTATGCCCTGTGAAAAATTGAGAACGTGGACAGAAGCAGGTATCTCGCCAAGTTTCGTCTGAATCCCGAGTCCAATAACTCGACAACGACCAGCTGAACCCCAGCTGCTGGAAGCCTTCCTCGAGTTGGAGGCTCCGAGAACCGTCTGAAGAGAGATGTGGATGATCTCGAGAAGCAACTGGTCTGGAAGGATCAAGCAGAAGACGTACCTTTGTCATAGGATCATTTGTGATTACTTAAGCTAACTCGGATAATTTTATCTTAATATTTAAGCTAATTAATAACTTAATAATAATTTATTTAAATTAAATACTACAATCTATTGTCGTTTTATTTTTATTTCACGGTGTCCGT